CATTTTTTTTTCATTTTTCATTTTCAAAATTCAATATCCCTAAAAATGCACCAATATCCCATATCCCATTTATTTTTAGGACAAATATCCCATATCCCTAAAATTAAAATGGCAAATATCCCGTATCCCAATATACCCTATACAAGCCTCAAGACTGGATTACAACCACATACAACAAATACTTTGCAAGATGGATTCATTTGCTTAACATTTTGAGAGAATACATATTTTAATATTTATATAAACAACAATAATGTGTCTTTTTTTCATTTTACCATCATATATTCATTTGATCATTTTTACATTGGACTTGGTACTATTTTACTTGAGCAACATGACGGGTGCCACATGAGGAGCAGAGTATGCTTATTCTCCTAGACTCAGTAGGACAGCTGATATCTCCCTGCTTTTTCGTGGGGTTTGTGTTCATCAGCCAACATTTTTCAGTGTAGTGTTTTGTGGATTGTCTTTTCGTCGTATTTTGTTTTTGCCATCGTATTGTAACATTATTTTATATTTTTTAATATATTCCTTTGGTACCTTCTGCGTTAATTTAACATGTGTGCATAAGTTGTGATACCGTGACGATGCCTTGATTACTTTTTACATGTGTGCATAAGTTGTGATACCGTGACGATGCCTTGATTACTTTTTACATGTGTGCATAAGTTGTGATACCGTGAAGATGCCTTGATTAATTTTTACATGTGTGCATAAGTTGTGATACCGTGAAGATGCCTTGATTACTTTTTACATGTGTGCATAAGTTGTGATACCGTGAAGATGCCTTGATTACTTTTTACATGTGTGCATAAGTTGTGATACCGTGAAGATGCCTTGATTACTTTTTACATGTGTGCATAAGTTGTGATACCGTGAAGATGCCTTGATTACTTTTTACATGTGTGCATAAGTTGTGATACCGTGAAGATGCCTTGATTACGTGGTGTTTGCCGAAGTTCATTTACAGTGGCAAATACTTCATAAAAATTGACTGGAAAATGTTGAAATGTTGGATAGAGGCACACATTTCACCTTGCACTGGGCAAACTTACGGACCCCTGAAAGAGTTATTAAAAGGGTATTTTTAACTTGCAGAGTGCATAACACTTTCCTTCAACGATGCATCTACAGCCCCTATTTCATCCTGCGCTGCTAAACAGAACCGGACATCCAGAATAATATATCCTATTGATCTTTTTTCGTTTGGTTATGGTATTTGTGATGTTTTTGGGGTTATCGTTGGCGTTCATCTCATTCCTCCCTTATAAGTTAAGGACGAGTGGTATAATTTCCAATGAGAAAAGTCTAGAGACCAAATGACAAATAATAAGCATTACCGTATAATATGACATCAACTTATGAAAGGCCACGGTATGACAAAAGGCGAAACAATTAAAAACGAAAACCAACAACTGCCGGCTTTTTACTACAACAATGAAAGAAAACCCAAATACCATGCAACAAAAATGTAACAATTCCCTTATTTTGTTAAATAAGATAAAGTCTTGAAATCGAATATGAATACATGTTTTAATGAGCACGAATATACACATTTCAAATCTTCAACAATAACAATTGAATAACAAACTTTGACAACAATCTATAGAACTATAATGTTACTTAAGCACAGTTATTGGAATGTTCATGAATAATGTTGATCAACACAAGTTATAATCTATACTGTTGCACGGGCTGTGGCGAGAGTCCGTTGTAGTACTGTTGAACATAATCAGGATTCATGACTGGTGACAAAGAACCATATCCATAGAGGTACGGGTTAAACATTGGTGGTAATGCTAAATAGTTCTGATTAAGTCCATGTAGTTGTGATGGATGACAAATAGAGGACTGTAGTTCTGGAAGAGGCCTTCCAACACCAACAAACTTTGACAGTTCTGTTGAGCCATTGTAGCTATAGTTCTTGATCTGACGTTTCTCTTTCATTCTGCGATTCTGAAACCACCATTTTATCTGTACTTCGCTGAGCTTGAGTCGCTTGGCAAGAACGGGTCTGTCTTCAATAGCAAGGTACTTGTGTGTACTGTAGTATCGCTCTAGTTCAAAAACCTGGGAGTTGGTGAAGATGGTTCTAGCCTTCTTTTTTGGTTGGTAGTTGTTTTCAGAATCATCAGAGCTGAAATGTCTAGATTCTGGTGAACTGATGTTATCTTCGGAATCGTCGGTAGATCTTTTTCTTTTCTTCTGAATGTGCTGTTCAGTTGCCAATAAACAGGTAGAGAAGTGGTTGTTCGACTGTTGGTTGAGTAACGGTGTCTGGTAAAAGTCGTAGAATACACTCTCTGACTTAAGTGACTGTTGAACCCTACTGCTTTTAGATAGTTCCTCTATGCTGAACGACATAGGTAAGGACGCCATTTAAATATTTTCTGAGGTTGCTTTAATGTTACTTCGCTGAATTGACTTCAGATTTTTAATGAAAAATTTGGTAAAAATCAAGTATATATACTCTTTGCGGTGAACTCAAATCACCTGTCAACCTTAGAATCTCAGTGATCAAGATTATCATCGTGCTTAGAAACCAATCAAAACTGATCATTAGCAATCAACCAATAATTGATAACGGATTATCATCTGCCAACTCAACGATGTTCCTTCTGACAGGTAACTAGTTTAAACTTTTTAATTAGAACAAATCAGCTACTTAGTAAATAATAAGTAAATTAAGTAACAATTAAACAAAATAAAAAAATATGTAACTCCTTGAGTGGTATTTGAGAAATTGCTTATAGTTATCATTGGAAGCTTGGGTGACGATCTCTAGGTGACGAGTTAGTGGCAATTAAGATCAAACCAAGCTGACAGATGTCATTGAATTTAAAAATCGTCAAAACTTATTGTTAATTTTAAGAAGCACTTAACCGGAATAATGAATCTTCAATTGGGAGTAATGCACCTATCTTAATCTTAGCACATACTTACAACTTCTCGTCCAATCAAATTGCTTATATTTGCCTTCTAATTTTCATAGTACATACTTTTCCTGTGTACTAAGTAACTACGCATGAATGACCACAAGGGTAAGATTTCATTGTATCGTAATCAAGATATTTAAAACAAAATTTGCCACTGGCTATTTTGAAATAAAATGCTGTGTTCCAAATTAAATTAAATAGTTTGTAATTAGTTTTCACATTGATTTTAAATATCCTGCTATTAAAATCTTTGGATCTAAAAAATGTTTTGACAATTGCAAATGTTATCATTTAAATAAAGGGTAATACACATGGTTCTTTATACCTTGATTAGAGTACAATGATATCTTAAAATTATGATAATGTATCATCCATGCAATTACTTTGTACACAGAAAAGTGTGTACTATGAAACCTTGTGAAGGAAAATTAAAGCAACTTGGTGATAATTTTTTAAACTTTCTTAAGGAAAGTGATCTATTTCGTCATGAATTGATTGATTTATTGATTATTGGTTGCTTAATGTCCAGTGGCAAATATTTCATGCATGTTCAGGACGATGTCATGAATTGAAAAACTGTGATTATGTCTGAAAATAATGTGCAAGCTATATATATAAACATATTCTGATAAATCTTTTAGTTTTTACTTTGAACTAATAAAAAAAAAAAACACAAAACCTATAATCTTTGATCTATTTGTAGTTGCTTTTTAATGCCTATCTGCTAGACTATATGTTTGGGGACAAACTATCTATATGTTTCAAATTTATTATAGCTTTAGTTTTACTGTGAAATTAAAAAATGTTTTCAAAACATGTAAAGCTTCCACTGCAATTTAATTATTGCCTGTTTTTGGTCAATTTATTTTGTCATCTTACCTTGTAAGAAGAACATGTATAGTAAAACACTGCTTTATATCAGTATACATACTTACACTAGCAGCTACCATCTTTTCATTCTGGAGTGAAGGGCCTTTTGAAATCACATATTTTACAATGATACTAGTGAGTAGATTTACAAAACTCGTTAATGAGCTCCGTTTTACAAACACCTGTGATACAAGTAGTCAGCCAAAATAAACTATCAATAGACCAATTAAAAGATTACTCGAGTTGTAAATATGTGCTAAATTGGATAGTCTATGGAAAGGTATATACTATGAAATTAAGAGCTCGGGGCAAGCCCCTCGCTCTAAATTTCATAGTATATACCTTTCCATAGACTAACCTATAACTATACGGAGGTCAAGTTGTAGTAAATTGATGATGCTATAGATTTTATAGGATTCTGCATAAAAAAACGACATTTTTTAATTGACTTTACTTTAATTGAAAAAGGTAATTTATCTCTTTTATTTCTGAAACACTTTTTAAAAATGAATATTCTCACTCATAGAAGATCGCGGATTTTAACGTAAAATTTGTGAACAGGCGTCCTAAAATTCAGTGTCGATTCTCCACTGTGCTATAATCAAACACCTATAAGGGACTTATCATTGTTTTACCTGTGAGGGGGGGGGGCTGGTCAAAATGTAGGGGGGGGGGTCAAGTTTTTTTTTCTGTAAGTGAAAAGGGGGGTTCAAATTTTTTTTAAATTCAAAGTGGGGGGGATCAATTTTATCAGGGTAATTCGATAATGTTTTCGTATTTATTTAGTCTGGGACTATTATTCTTTTTTTTTGTGGAGGGGGTCTAAAAATCATCATTTTTTTCCTTATTAATCTACCTACTGTAACGTTTCCACGAGATGCATAGAAAATTTCATGTTTTCAAACAACAATTCTTTATTTCAATTGGGGAAAAAATTTAAATATTATTATATCTTTTAGTTCAAAATTTACCGCCAAATAACTTTTATGTAGCACGTGATTTTGTTTACGTTTGATTATAGTCTATAAATTCCGTGTATTGCATGATAGCTATATTTCGGAATTAATTGATATTTTTAATATTAAATAGCAGTTAATGATACAATTTTGTTGGAAAAGTACCAAATATTTGTCAAACTATTGTTGAGTTATTTTCTTTTATAAGTAAAGGGTTTTCGTTTCAATTTGGTTAGAGATTAATGCTATGGCTGAAAGGTAAACACTGTGATTTCAGAAAAACTCTTTTCTTCAAATAATATATGAGTTGATTGACATACAGAGTAATCATTTTGAGTTAGGAGTTCAGATCTATTTGTTCTGATATAACGCCAATGTGGTAAAACAATTCTGCATTCCGAACAAATACAGAATATCAAGGATTTGTATAGTGAGATCTCGCTATACAAATGCTTGAGTATATAATACGTGTAGACCTGAGTCATTAAATATAACCTACAGCCATTCAACTGTCCAAGAAAATTATCTGTGATCATCTGTAAAAGAGCATCCCTAACAGTAATCGCTTTTGGGATTCTGAGCCGAAAATCGCCCAGGACTCAATGTAATCCTGCACACATTTGATACTACCACCAAACTTTATCCCTTTTGTGATTCTGTGTCTGAAAATGTTGAAGATAGTTTTGTTACTTTGACATTAATACATACAATAATTTAAGACCACAATCTTGTTTGAAATAGATTTATGGTAATATGTTTGAATGACGTGCAATATATACATCATGGCTGCTTAATTTGTTTCAAGGTATGAAACCGCACTAAAGTAATCAAATAATTAATGCAAGTTTACTCTATTGCGAGTAGTAGGGTATACTGTCTGGTAATTTTAAGTATTCTGATGGGGACCAAATGTGCCCCTTATCACACATTTGTTCCTTTACTGTTATAAATCATTTTTTTAGCTAAAATGCATTTATACAGTGAAACCTGGGTAAACCGAACCCTGATAAAACCGAATTCGAGTTTAAACCAAACAATTTTCAAAGTCCCATAAAATTTCCCTATCAATTAATGTTAATCTAACCTGAACAAACCGAACCCTGTCAATACCGAATTCCGAACGCTTTTTGAAGGCTGGTTAGTGAATGAGTATTGAAAAATTACCTGTCAAAATCGATCGATAGCAATCAAAACAAAAGGTATTTCAAATGATTTGCATGAGTTATTAAACAAACACAGGATGACAGACTATCCCCGAGGGTATTTGAAGTTTAATTAACTGGTGAGTTGTTAATATGAACTAATTGGCTTGTTTTTGTACATGTATACAGTGATAAGATGAAAACTTCTGTAAAGAGACGTAAAATTGATCAGTTGCCACCATTGCCGAAAAGGGCAAGAAAGGAACTTTCACTTGACTACAAATTGGAATAAATTAAATGCACGTGATTCAAATATTTAATGCCACAAATTCATAACTGCCATTCTGTAACTGAACTGTGTAAATAAATTATTGTTTTTAAAGCCATTCACTGGATTGAGAAGTAGTGAAACGAAACAAATCAACGACTTTTGAGTCATGTTTTCGGGATGCTGGATTCTCTTTAGAGGCCCTATCAAATGCAGATGATTCTGAAGACCTGGATGATGATGTTCTGTTAGATATTTAGCTAAGATAAAGTCTGAGAACTCGTGTGTAAAGATAATTGGAACAGACGATGTTGATCTCGATTTAACTACGGAATCGTCATTTGACAGTGATTAAGAATCTAAAGTGGTCAGTGAATTAATGGATGACAACATCATTATGAAAAGCAAACTCGATCCATGTCAGACATCACTGATTGAACGGTTATTATATGTTTACAATGAGGAGCGAGATTGAGGAAATGGCATTTGATTAAAAAAAATATACTATGTCTTTCTTCATCTATTTGATATTTTCAAAAAATCAACATGAAACTATATTTTCGTCTGTTGTGTCACTGGCATCCCTCGTCAGTAAGTGTCAAAATGATTTAAAACTTTCCACTTCTGTTTACCTCTACAATCCGAACACCTGTGAAAACCGAACAAAACACAAAGTCCTGAGGGTGTTTGGTTTGGACAGGTTTCACTGTATATAAATTTGAGGTTTTTTTTTGTCTTTCAGAACTATTTTTTCTTAGTGCATACTTTTCTGTACCTTTTGTTTTGCCACTGATAATGATAATAATTAGGAGGATTGAACAATCACCAAACCAGTTTAACTCTGCCAGATGTACCTGCAGTCTTATCATTGGATGTCTTTATTATAATTTATTTATATCTAAATGTAGAAGTTTTTTGTCTATTTACAATTTAAATGATTGGTGGTAATTTCATATTGTTAGTACACCAAAAAGATAACAAAATTTTATCATTTGTTGGACATCCATTGTTCAGGAGTCGATACCAGCCTCAATAAAATTGAGAATGGAAATGGGGAATGTGTCAAAGAGACAACAACCCGACCGTAGAGCAAACAACAGTCAATGTTTATTTCAGTTATGCTTTTAAAAATAGAAATTTTTTTAAATACTATATATAGCTACCCACAATGCTTTATATTCTAAAAGGGCAAATTAGTGATTTGATGATGATTTAATCTTTCGTAGTTATATGTACATGGATTTACAACTTGTATAGAATTTTGTGCAATGTACTGCATTCATGTATAGACTTGTCTTTTGTTAAAAACCACATGTTGATGTCTTTATATTTGTTGTGTTGGTGAATTTCTGTCACTTAAAAACCTTCAAGCTTTGAGGAGTCAACTGGTTTATAAACTTGAGATTTGCCTCTAAGTTTCACTGTTTGTACATAATTTTATACCTTGGTTTAATGACAGCTGATTAATGAGATACATGTAATAATTTTGATGAACTTGTAAGCATACATGTCATCAATAATGACAATATTATCCAAAATGTTTTCATAACAACCTGACTACCAAAGTTTTTGTCTGGCCTGCAACATTTCTTGAGAGACATATGTTTACTGTTACATAATTTTAAGTTTTTAACAAAAGGAAACCCATTTGGAAATGAGATTTTGTCTTATTAATTACCCCACAAGTTTAGAATATTAGTAACCAACATCTGCAGCTTACTGTACATTTGCTGTATGGTCTTTGTCAATCTCTATACTCATAGCAATGTAGAAAACTAAAATTTTAATATTGAATAACTTGGCTGTGGTTGAACAAGTTCCTGGCAAAATCAAGAATGTATAAAAGAAGTGCAAAACTTTTGGTCGTATTACGAAAGAAATGAAAGTTTTCCCCAGAATCATTGGCAGTTTACCTGTTGATTTAAACTTTTGTCAGTTCACTTGTCCCATTGAATATATACAATAGCTATTGTCATGATTGTTGTCCAAGTAGTTTTTTCACTGGGACCTTTAAATTTCTTGTAAGAGAAATCCATCACTCATTGATTAATTTACCTGAAGAAAAAATTATCTTCTAAATATATGAAAATACATTTATCAACTCACAAAACTGCATGTGATGTTCTATTTATTCAATATTAATACATGTATTATATTTTCAATCTATTCAATATAAATACTGATTTAATCATTAGCAGTTCCTTTTGAAATATGCATTTCTTTTTGTGTTTGTTTAGTTATAGAATACATTTAAGAAGGTCTTAACTTAACATCGTCATTTTCTAGTTTTTATCTGTCAACCACACAAAAAGAAAAACAATTCAATAGGAACAATGTAGAATATTTTGTCAGAAATCAACTTTTTAAATTTGAATCAGTGTTTATATTGAACAAATTGAAAATATATTATTGATATTGAATAAATACAACATCACATACAGTTATGTGAGTTGATACATGTATTTTTATCTACTTACAAAACAATTTTTTTCTTCAGGTAAATTAATCAATGAGTGAAGGATTATTCTTAGAAGACATTTAAAGTTCTCAGTAATTAGCACATACTTACAACTTCTCGTCCAATCAAATTGCTTATATTTGCCTTCTAATTTTCATAGTACATACTTTTCCTGTGTACTAAGTAACTACGCATGAATGACCACAAGGGTAAGATTTCATTGTATCGTAATCAAGATATTTAAAACAAAATTTGCCACTGGCTATTTTGAAATAAAATGCTGTGTTCCAAATTAAATTAAATAGTTTGTAATTAGTTTTCACATTGATTTTAAATATCCTGCTATTAAAATCTTTGGATCTAAAAAATGTTTTGACAATTGCAAATGTTATCATTTAAATAAAGGGTAATACACATGGTTCTTTATACCTTGATTAGAGTACAATGATATCTTAAAATTATGATAATGTATCATCCATGCAATTACTTTGTACACAGAAAAGTGTGTACTATGAAACCTTGTGAAGGAAAATTAAAGCAACTTGGTGATAATTTTTTAAACTTTCTTAAGGAAAGTGATCTATTTCGTCATGAATTGATTGATTTATTGATTATTGGTTGCTTAATGTCCAGTGGCAAATATTTCATGCATGTTCAGGACGATGTCATGAATTGAAAAACTGTGATTATGTCTGAAAATAATGTGCAAGCTATATATATAAACATATTCTGATAAATCTTTTAGTTTTTACTTTGAACTAATAAAAAAAAAAAACACAAAACCTATAATCTTTGATCTATTTGTAGTTGCTTTTTAATGCCTATCTGCTAGACTATATGTTTGGGGACAAACTATCTATATGTTTCAAATTTATTATAGCTTTAGTTTTACTGTGAAATTAAAAAATGTTTTCAAAACATGTAAAGCTTCCACTGCAATTTAATTATTGCCTGTTTTTGGTCAATTTATTTTGTCATCTTACCTTGTAAGAAGAACATGTATAGTAAAACACTGCTTTATATCAGTATACATACTTACACTAGCAGCTACCATCTTTTCATTCTGGAGTGAAGGGCCTTTTGAAATCACATATTTTACAATGATACTAGTGAGTAGATTTACAAAACTCGTTAATGAGCTCCGTTTTACAAACACCTGTGATACAAGTAGTCAGCCAAAATAAACTATCAATAGACCAATTAAAAGATTACTCGAGTTGTAAATATGTGCTAAATTGGATAGTCTATGGAAAGGTATATACTATGAAATTAAGAGCTCGGGGCAAGCCCCTCGCTCTAAATTTCATAGTATATACCTTTCCATAGACTAACCTATAAATAAACTACACAGAGAACAATAGCTATTGTATTTATTCAATGGGACAAGTGAACTGACAAAAGTTTAAATCGACAGGTAAACTGCAAATGATTCTGTGGAAAACTTTCATTTCTTTCCCAATAATTCCTAGATGGTTTTGATGTACATGTATTTTTTTTTAATATAGTATTGAAACAAGTGGTGAAGGAGGAAGTTGGTGGGGAGGATGGATACAGGCAGCAAAAGAGAAGTCCATGTATGGGATACAGGCAGCAAAAGAGAAATCTATGTCTGCCTACGAAATGATCAAGAAAGATTTGGAGGAGTTTTCCAATACCATGTCAAATGACACTGGTGAAGCTGTAGCTAAAACAAGTGAATCTTTACGAGAAACCTTGAAGGTAAATTATCACATAACAAGCTTATTTTATAGGAAAAATTGTAGAGCAACCACATGATTTCCTGTGGTAAGTGTTTAAGGTAATGGTAATTAATTACTGTGTATATGTCATATATATTCATATGCATGGGTACCAATTTTTATGGATTGAGGAAAAATCATATTTTCATGGATATTTGATTTCAAAGTTTTTTCCAAAGTCTGTGTACAAGCTTAATAAGCCTATAGAAAATGTGTACTTTGTTGAACATTTGAATTCATGATTCACTTTTCCCCATGAAATTTAAGAAAATTGGTATCTTACATATATATATATATAATAATGGATCCACAGTGTTTTTTACACGCATCACCCATCAGTGTAGCTGCGGAACCGTAGCTCTTAGGTCCTTATGTTATTTTTTGACTATTTGCGGACCATAGAGTCCGCAAATAGTCAAAAAATAACATAAGGACCTAAGAGCTACGGTTCCGCAGCTACCATCAGTGCAAAAGGCAAGTAAAGGGAAAAACATGTGGCATACTTTATTCTGACAGAAAGGTTACATGTATGTTTAATGTAGTGAAACACTTGCAAACTCTAAAGGTAACAAGAGCTACAAAACAAAACTTGGGTAGGCACTTAAAAAATGTCAATTTTACATGAAAAGACCTTCTATAGCTCTACAATTTCTTTCACCTTACATACATTTATTGTATGTTTATATTTTCCATATTGAGAAGTAAAACAATTGTTGTATTTTTTTCTTTTTCAGACAGAAAATACTGAGGCTGCCAGAGACAAACTAAAGCAAGGGTTGTCCTCATTTTTGGATGGTTTGACAAAACTTTTAGTAGTAGAAGCTGAAGACAAAGATGTCCCTGTAACAAGAAGAAAGATTACAGATCCTATATTTGATAGGGCTAAGGTACAAAGAAGGTTAAATTGATCAGGGTTAATCGGTTAACTTATATTTATCCAGACTTAAAAAAAAACTATCATGGACATGATTATAAATGTTATCCTATGCCCAATACTTTGATTTTTAAATTATCTGTACTTTTCAATATCAAGTCAGTCTACAAGCACTCAACCTATGGATAAATTTTACTATTTTCTTGCTAATTTGAAGCCACCTTTATTTATCCAGTGACTTGGGAGATGTGATTTTATATTCCTAGTGGTGCCATATCCATTTCTGGAGTCTAGATTATGTGCAATTCAAGTGAACCCCAATACATACTGTGATAGTCCTACTTGTGCCTTGTTTACCTCAAAATGTTAAGTTTAATACATGTCATTCTTGAGGATCCCAGTAATACATATTGTTATAATACAGCTGGTTCTTTGTCTTTTTCAGGCCTGATGTCATGCCATTGTAATGGATTTCATTTCCTCATTATCATACTATTCCTTAATTGTTTCAGGCCAGACCACAAGTCATACACGTACAGATGGTATTACATATTGTAATGATCCTACTGGTTCTTTGTTTGTTTCAGCCAGTATACTGGTACCTTTAATAATGATGAAACTGGTACCTTGTTTGTTTCAGGCCAGACTACATACCATACAAGTGGATCCTTGTACCTATTATAATGATCTTACTGGTTTCTTGGTTGTTTCAGGCCAGACTACATGCCATAAAAGTATATCCTGGTACCTATTGTGATAATCCTACTGGTTCTTTGTTTGTTTCAGGCCATATTACATGCCATGCAAATAGATCTAAGTACCTATTGTAATGATCCTACTGGTGTATCGTTTGTTTCAGAACAGACTACATGCCATACAAGTAGATCCGGGTACCTATTGTAATGATCTTACTAGTTCTTTGTTTTTTTCAGGCCAGACTACATGCCATACAAGTAGATCCGGGTACCTATTGTAATGATCCTACTGGTTCTATAGATAAGTATAAAGAATGGTTGAAATCATTTGACATGGAAGTCAGGAAAGGGGAGGTTTCAGAATTACTGGTATCACAAGTGGAAGTCAGAGGACTTTATACCAGACTGGTCAGTATTTCAGTAGATTATATAATTGTATGTTCATTTAAAAAGGATTTTTATTTATTTTTATGCTTGTGAGTTTAAAACAGACAAAATACTTCCAGAAGTTAACTTCATATAACAGTTCACATTGCTGAACTTAGCATTAGTTGATTGAGTAAAGTACACTCTATCAGTTGACCTGAGGAAATGATTGTTGATAACTTGCCGAAAGTTACTGGTTTTACCTGAGTATTGTGGTTTAATTCACCAATAAAAAATGAAGAATTACTGTCATTAAATTGTAAGAATGAAAAGCGGGTGTTAAATAAACAAAGCAAATCTTAAATCAACTATACATTTACACAGTATCCATTTGAAATACACATGCAGGGATTCAGTGAATTCTATATGAAATGACAGTTATGTACTGTGATTGTTGTAAATTGAGTTCTTTCTTTAATTTTTAAGGTACCATCAGAAATTTCTCATGCCAATTTTTGGAGGAGATATTTTTACAAAGTTCACCAGCTTCAAATTGATGAAGCAAGGAAGTTGGCATTAATGAAAAGGGCTGAACAGTCTGAGAAAAAAGAAGATTCCATAAACTGGGACGGTAAGGATTGTTATTATGTGTTTTGGGTCGATAGTATTTGGTGTGTGGATTGTAAATTGTTAGTTAAATATTGTTCTTGCATCTTTATTTCTTACCAGCAGTATGATTTCATCAGTAAAAGTTGGTTTATTAAAAGTAGGCTCTTTACAAAAAAATCCAGAAGGTTAACTTCAGAATTACATCTCTATGTTCGTGTAGAAGGATAACTTGACACTTACAAATAAAATATTGGACATTGTTTAAAGGTAAATCGAAATGAAAACTTTCAAACACCAGGAACACCAGGGAAATTATAAGAAATTAATGAAATTAATTATATTATTTTTAGAAGAGGATGATTCTAGTGCAGAGGAGGGAGAAGCAACTACCGGAAAATTGAAATATGTAGAAAATAAAATACAGACTAACAAGGTGCAAAATTTATCACAAAACAATAGTGAACAACCTCCCTCAACATTGGTCAAAACAGATAGTAGTAAAGACAGTGATATCAAAGACCAAACACAGGAATCTGATATTGTTCCAAATAATGAACTTCCCTGTGATAGTGATTTACAGAATAATGTTCATACACCAAAATCCTGTTTAAAAACAGAAGTAGAAAATTGTAAATCAATGGACAGTGAGACAATAGGTGACAGTTCAAAGAACAATGGGACAAAAGGTGACATTTCAAATGACAATAAGACAATAGGTGACAGTTCTCTAGTATTAGAGGAAGAAGTTGATAAACCCAGAGCCACATCTATACCATGTGAAAGTCATAATGTGGAAAAAGATTTGGAGAAAAATGTAAATACAGAAACAGAACATGATTTGGAGAAAAATGTGAATACAGAAACTGAAAAATTAACAGAAAATGAAAATGTGAAACCAAGTGAACAGGAAAATACAAATGAAAATGATGAAATAAGGACCAAAGAAAAGGGGGATACAGTTGTTGTTAATCCAGATAGGGATTCACCTTCAACAGAGTCTACAAAAGGTAGGAATACTAGTGCTAGAAGGTCTATAGCCATATTAATGTTATTCTTTGGATAATGATAGTTTCTAGTTACTTATTTTCCTGAATTTTCTTGGAGCAAACTACAAAATGTTTTTCTCAATGAAACTTGTACTATACATGTGGATACTTTTGTGATATCAATTTATTACATTTTCATGTAGTGTTTTGATTAACGCATCAATAGTAGGTGTGCCTTTCACATCAATGATAGATAATTACCGATTTACAAACTATTTGCACAGGGGGTTTGTTGAGGATTTTATGGTTAAAAAGTGGCCATCAGATGAAAGTGAACTGAAATATTATATATAAAGATATGTTTTATAATTTAATGGCATCTTTAATACATATATTTATATCCAACTTATACATATATAATATATAGGATCTCTGAATATGTTCTTTATTTGATCTGAGGGATTTATACTCAATCAGAGTTTATTTTCAGGAATGTTTTAAACTAGACGAGTCTTATGTTGTAATTTCTTCTATTTCAGAAAGTGCAGATGAAGACTGGGAGAGAGATTTTGATGTTGAACTGACTGAAGAAGATATGAAAGCCGCTGATGAAATTGCCAAGAAATTAAATTTGTCCTCTACGGACTACACAAAATTATCTGCAGATGTGGTAATATATATTTGCATTATAATGCACAATTTTCAACAAAACATTTTTCTAAAATAAAAGCACGACAGAATTTTGTGTTTAGAATTTTATTTATGTATATCAGCCGGGGCATAGCTAGACCAATATGATGTGTACTCACTGCCAGAGTTTTGATAAAAAAGTACTATAATGAACGCATATCATAGGTTAGAAACCTTAAACTGGCAAGTATATAATATGTACGTTTTAAGTCCTGAAATCTATAAGGAAAATCATCAAATTATTTCCGATTTCTTCTTATAACTTTTAAAACAACAGTCTTTTAATTTTACCAAGCATGGAAAACAAGCACTTTTAATCTCGAAGCATGGAAAATAAGCATGTTTAATCTCGAAGCACATATAATTAAATTGGGGAACTCTTTGAATGAGGCACCCGTCTTGCACAACCGAATGTAAGAATACGTTGATCGTCAATTAAAATTTTTAAAAAATGGCAAACACGATGCACGAAAATTACCTTTTACCACCCCCGTTAAACGTCTGACTGAACTGTTTAAAAATCTGTTATGACAACGTATGTAATTAAGACTATTCATACCTCACAGGAAAATCGTGAGAATGAATTGTTGTCCATGGTCTCTTTAGAACGTCATATTTTATTTCGTCAGTTATTTAGAAATCTTCAGAAAAAATGTCAGGACTGGGTAAGGAGGCATAGAATTGTTTTCTGACAACACAAGGATCATTTTAATTGTTTGCATTAGCAACACAATCATGATGCTGGTTCCGTAAATGAAAAGTAATTTTAGGAACGGAATATAGCTACAAAGTGATTTTTCACATGTTTGTATAATAGTTTTTAATTTATTACTTTAGTTTTATTCTTACTAGATTTTCCATATTTTAATTTTTATAAAATTTTCGATGTGTACACAACTGCGTTTTTCCTATCATAACAAAAAGATCAAGTTAAAATTGTAAGCATGGCAAAAGTGGAACAATTTATAAAGAAAGTTTTTGTAACAGAATTGTATTTATTTTTTGCAGGAAGATGATTGGGAAAGCTGGGAATGACCTGTTACAATATTCAGGTTGTCTATAAACATTGTGGAGGGTTACATTTCTTCTCCTTTGCTTCAGAGGATTCCACTTGATCATTTATTTGTATTTTTCATTTCTCATAAAACTGTGTAAATAGGTTGGGTATTATGATCCAAATACATGTTGGAATGGGAATCTTAAAGGATTTATTTTCCCTTGTAATTTTTTTAATCATGATTAAATTGAATTTAGAGGGAACTATATTTTATATTGATTCTTAAATTGTGATTACTGAAGGTAAACAGTTAAAAAGGTACATATAATAATCCTAAATATATTTTTAAATGTTATAAGAATCAGATATTAGTAGCAAACTATTGTTCAACAAGTAATGGTGTGAAAAGTCTTTCATTTTGTGGAATGATAACCACTTTGTACAATGATCTTTTTTCATTTTTTTATCCACAATTTCTGATTTTTTTATGTTTTATTTAAAGAAAAACTTTCATGATTTGATATTAAAAAATATCTATAAAAATTATAAGTCTGTACACTTTTCAATTAATATGAGATCTGAAACAAAGCAATCAATTTATTGATGAATATGGAAGGGTAGACAATTCTATATGACTACTTAATTTTTTCATGAAATAGGCATATGATTTATCTTTCATTGTTTCATATTGTTCACAAGCTTTGTGGGCTCAGTTACTACATGATATATTTTATAGGACACTAATTATATTACTTATTAATTGTTATGTCATCAGGGATGTGAAAATGTAAAACTGGATTCAGTTATATACACCAAAAACTACTTCTTTTAAATAAACTATGAATTACTTTTTGGCATTCTTCAAAACTTGTAGAAAACTTTCATTAAAAATTTATCACAAGTAGGACATTTTCACAGCCCTGGGTATTATTTGTTAAAACTTGATGAATTGTTGTTAATTGCCATCAATTTACATGTAATTACATTGATGCTATTGCTATTAAGTTTTGTCCTTTGTATATGTATACAAATAGATTGTATAATTTCTCCTTTTTACGTTCTCATTCTTTTGCCATTTAGAACACTATATTTGTTTTATAACAACTTATATAGACTTTGGACAATTTAGAGCTTGACATATGATATACATATTTGTCCTGAGTTGGAAATATGGATTCTAGCACTGCATCAAGTGTAACATGATATTAATCCACTCAAGACAGTTAAATTTTCAAATTTAAAATGCGAGATTCGCCAAATTTTACTGTTGATAGCTATAGTGGATAAATATCGTATTGCACGAGATTTGGTGGTGGAATCTGTTTCTCTAATAATTTTAGAAGATTTACAGACAATCTCAATCCTTCTTTTCGAATGATCTGCAAAAAGATGTATTATTTCTATGTGACATCATCAGGCATGGTCGCCTTTTTTCGTGACACCACAACAGGAAATGCAGAGGAGAGCAAGAAAATTGTACGTCATAATCAAATTTTGACCAGTGAAGAACTGTGATCAAACAAACCACATGTTGATTAAATAAGAATAATCATCAAAGGATTAAGCAACATACTAATATAGTTATTCATACTGTCTGAACCAAGCCTCTCTCAACCAAAGTTGCCCTGATTGAACCTTACAAGATTCTTAAGTAACATTTTAGGTGAGAGATAAATGCAGAGTATATCTTAAAACATTGGCAATTGATTTATCTTCAGATTTATTTACATTGAAATAATATATTATTTATACTTTTCTGTTAAGTTGACTTCTCTATCTATATTTATTAACTATTGTTTATATAAAACAGTGCTATTTTATGATTAAATCAATGAATGTCTGTATTGCTTTGTTTCTTAATCATGTAAAGTTAAGTTTGAGGAAAAAAGTTGACCCTGAAAATATAGGTCATGGTGACCATCATCTTGTAAAATGTATCATATGGTCAGATGCAACTGCTAAATTGTATTAATTTTTGAAAATCAATTCTAAGATATGGTTATGAATTCAGAGTCATTGAGGCAAAATAGAAATTATAAATGACAAATTGACTCTGGATCGGCATGTTTACAACAGCAAACAAACAACATAATATTCCTTATTATTACCCAGTCTAGTGACAAAACTTTTAACTCATTTAAGCAAAAGAACCAAACTTCATTTAAGCACTTGACCAATTTAAATGGCAACACATCCCTTTAATCCTTACTTTGTATTCAGGTAAAATAATTTTCAATACATAAAAAATCGAGGATTTTGGAAAATTGTTTTAAAACATCAATCATACAGGTCAATGGAATGAAATAGATTGATTTTAATACATGATCGCACCATGCACATTGGATTTCATTATGAAGTTTGAAGACCATTTACCTACATAATACTAGGGATGGAAACTCGGTGAAGAGTTGATAAGGAATACTTGCTGGCCTTACTGAGTGATACTCAAGTACTTGATCTGCAAAATGGGAACTCAATTATGCACATTTTACACAAAGAAATGTTGGTCTTTATTGCTAAGACAGGTCTTTACTGATAATACTTTGTTTAATTAAAGTTTCCAAACTAATAATTTCAAATGATAATTCAGCACAAATATACAAAACAAATTTAAAATAAGATTCATCAGAGACTACTTTTAAATATTTAGGGGATTTCTCAAGATTTTTTTTAAGAAAAGGAATAGAAGGGAACATTGTCCTTACAGGACACCAATTAGTCGGGTATCATTTTTGTATTTTCTTACTCCATACTACCAAGCTTTTATCAAGTTTGATTCCTCATTGACATCCCTACATAAAACCAATTTCCATATATACCTGTAAAATGAGCAGAATAAGATGGAAACAAAAGTAGTTATATCAATGGGGATACTACATTTCCCCGCTGCCATCATTTTAGAATGTAATCAATACTCAAACTTAGTTAAATCGGATAAGCTCTTCATAAATCAAACTCACCTTTAGAGTCCTCCTGATGACCATAGTACATGTATATGCTTTTGTTGAATTATAAAAATTAGTTATGTGATTTTACACCAAATTTAAACCGAAAAGATTATATGTTGACCTCTTGATGTCTTGATTTTTTGGCCTATATTTCAGAAGGTAGAAGACCTGGATGCTTCATACTTTGTATACAGATGTCTTATGTTACGAAGTTTCAGTCTGTCATATGTCCATGTCCTTGACCTCATTGTCATGGTTCAGCAACTGCTTTTAAAAAATTGTATAGTGTTTTGTCTCGCCTGCGTCAAAAGTCGCGGAAAGCAAGACAGTATTGCTTTTCCAGCGTCAGAGGACGTGTCAGCAATTTTAAAGTTTTCTGCTCAGGTTAGTTTGATAGGAACTACTTGTGAGAGATCAATGATATTTTGTATAAAGTTTCATTACTATCAGTACATATCAGTATGATGACTATTTCGAGGTCATGGTCCAGTGACTATGAACTAATTAGCAATGTTGCTGTCCATTAGATTCTTTTTTTTTTTAAATTTTCTGCTGACAATTTATTTGTCATGTGAATTTTTCACTTATAATGAGTTGAGTATAGCAATATTAGTTATATGGGTTCTTTGCAACAACTTCATGTCCGTCAAACAGGGTTCACGTGTGAGTAAGTCCATTTCTCAGATACTATACCTAGTAGGTCAACTATATGTGGTGTATATAATGATTGTAAGGGGTACATGTCAGTGTGGCAGGTTTTATCTATTGTTCATTGTTAAGTTTTCATGGTTTGTTTCTTTGATACTATAAGCAAAAGGTCAACTATATTTGGTGGATGGAATGATTGTAAATTGTAAAATGTCTGTCTGGCAGGGTTTATATGACCTTGACCTTATTGCCATGGATCATTGATATTGTTAAGTTTATGCGATACTTGTAGTAAAATCTTTTTTTTTTAGACTTGAATTAATTGTCAGTAAAACAGGCAAGACTTTGTTTTTGGTGTACTGACCAATCAGTAACCTAGTTGGTAGTGAAAAATGTCAAAAATCGATGTTTTACAGGTTTTAAAGCAAAGACGTAAAGCTTATTTCAACGTTTTGTGGTATTTTGTTCACCTAGAACACCTCTTTGAATGTGTATAGTGTAAAAACAAAGTCGGTGACCCTATTATTATTTTACATCAATAAAACGGAAATTTATGTATCAACAACATATGATTTTTTAAGAAAAATCTATGTGCTAGAAATTGGAGATTTGATGATTTTAAGACAAATTAAAGAATGATTTTGGACGATTTTAAACGATTTTAAACGATTCTATACAAATGTTCACCTATTTTGACAGAATTAAATCATTAATATTTTAGAAAATAAAAGAGATAAATGCATTATTTTTTCGATTTTCAGTTTTAATTCAACAAGCCAAAGTTGTATACAAAATTTTACCAAAATCTGTGAAATAGCCCATTTACTGTAACTTGACCTTAAATATGTGTTCCAATAAGAATGTAACTGTGATTTCAGAGGCATGAAATCATTATCACATCACCTCTGGGCCCATGTTTTTGGTATTTCATATCTTCATATATTCTGTGGTAATACATTTAAAACATTTGCTTTAAATCCTTTATTTAAACCTAGAATATGAGAAAAGTCCCAACAGGCTGTAAACAACATCCCCTGCAAATGGCAAGCATAACAATGTAGTAGATTTCCTTCCATCAATGACTTTACAAGCTATTTTCAAGATGAAGAACAGCAATACTACAGTACTGTTTGTCTACTGGTTGTTTCCTTGTGATACATGGACAATTCTTTATGAAGATATCCATCCCATATTCTTTCCAACATGCAATAGTTTCTTTACAAATGAAAATTGAAAAGGACAAATATAGCAGTAATCACATTTATTAATACTACAGGTTACAATATACTCTCAATATATAATAATTCCTAGGACCACAAAATATTTAATAATTCCCTGGACCATAGATAATATAAACTCATGATTGCAATATTAACAACACAAAAAATGCCATTACAGTTAAACATGTTAATCAGACAAACATTGAATATTAACTCTGGTAAACCAACAAACAAAATATTTAGTTTCAGGGGATTTCATTTCTGGAGAGGTTTGAGTAGGAATTTTAGACTATAAGTGTGTATAGTTGAATATATATATGATTATAGTCCCAAGATCAATTTGTATTAGTATCTAGTGTTATAAATGATATTTTATGTTTCTGAAGCATTGACATGATGGGGTTTGAAAAATTAACTTGGAAGTAAAATTTACATATCCAAATCACAAAAACTCTTAAATATGGGTCAATGACCTCTACTTTGCAGCAGTTGGTGGTTCTAAAAACTAGAGGCTCTAAAGAGCCTGTGTCGCTCACCTTGGTCTATGTGCATATTTAGCAAAGGACACCGATGGATTCATGACAAAATTGTGTTTTGGTGATGGTGATGTGTTTGTAGATCTTACTTTACTGAACATTCTTGCTGCTTACAATTATCTCTATCTATAATGAACTTGGCCCAGTAGTTACAGTGGAAAATATTTTGAAAAAAATTTACAAAAATTTACAAAATTTATGAAAATTGTAAAAAATTGACTATAAAGGGCAATAACTCCTTAAGGGGTCAATTGACAATTTTGGTCATGTTGACTTATTTGTAGATCTTACTTTGCTGTACATTATTGCTGTTTACAGTTTATCTCTATCTATAATAATATTCAAGATAATAACCAAAAGCTGCAAAATTTTCTTAAAATTACCAATTCAGGGGCAGCAACCCAACAACGTGTTGCCTGATTGGTCTGAAAATTTGAGGGCAGATAGATCTTGACCTTATGAACAATTTTATCCTCGTCAGATTTGCTCTAAATGCTTTGGTTTCAGAAATATAAGCCAAAATCTACATTTTACCCCCTATGTTCTATTTTTAGCCATGGCGGCCATCTTGGTTGGTTGGCCGGGTCACTGGACACATTTTTTAAACTAGATACCCCAATGATGATTGTGGCCAAGTTTGGTTTAATTTGGCCAAGTAGTTTCAGAGGAGAAGATTTTTGTAAAAGTTAACGACGACTGACGAAAGGACGCCAAGTGATGAGAAAAGCTCACTTAAAGGGCCAGGTGAGCTAAAAACTGCATCTACATACCTAAGAAATTAGTTGATGAGAAATGGCTGTGGTCATGAAATTGGAAGCAAAGAGAAACAGTGGTGCTAAGAGTACCCTAACTATTCTGAGAACTTTATAAAACATGTTATGGCATAAAGGTAGATGTCTAGAAAATGACATATATTCTGAGAACTTTATAAAACATATTATGGCATAAAGGTAGATGTCTAGAAAATGACATATATTCTGAGAACTTTATAAAACATGTTATGGCATAAAGGTAGATGTCTAGAAAATGACATAAAACTACAATATTGTATGTTCAAACCATATGGAAGAATCTATTTATACAAGTACAATACATAAAAGTACTAAAACTAATATTTATGATATAACTTACAATATATTTTGGCACATTTATATTTAAATCTTAATGCCATGGATCAAAAGATGAATTACAAAAATGTAAAGAGAGAGATTCAAGAGCTGCCTTAAAATAGACAAAATATTATGTATTCAAAATAAAAATACATTGTTGTTTATCTACTATATAACTAATAAAAAATATTTTGTTGAATATTTGTCTTCCACCTCTGTAAAAAAACAATCACAAGGTTGATAATTTACTTTTTTATGCAGTTTATGTGTAAAATAGCACAGTAACATTAATTCATTTGACAGTTTAGATCTTGAGATTCTAGAAAAGAAATCCAATTCATATGGTTTGTTAACAAATGCCCAACAAATATATTTGTCATTTAGGCTCACCTTGAAAGGAGAAAAAAATGCATACAATGTATAGATAGACATTAATGAGAAAAAATTAACTACTTGTTTATTGTACAATTTAAATTGATATTTGATACTTATAACAGATAATTATGAGAACTTTAGAAGTACAGTGCATCATAAGCCTATGAAGGCTGGCTGACATTATAAAATATGTTTCATATTTGTATTAATATGTTATATCAGGTTGCAGTTTAAAAAAACAATATATATATATATATATAAGGCACACAAAATAGAACAGTAAAATTTGGTAAACCATTGCACAGATTTAGTATTGTGAAATTGTAGTTGGAATGAACATCATGTTACAATATTCCATCAGCATTCATAATTCAAACATTTACTTTATGAAATTTAATACATGTATATCAAACTCTAAAGGTCCAAGTTTTACCAGTAGAAAACTTATTTATCTATCAAAAATTTAATATACATTCTTTTATAATTGTACAATGTTCAAATTTCTATTCACGCTCCAAGAATATCTAACTAACTTACTTAAGATTTGTACATTGGTTGAAAAAAGTTTAATGTATGGATGCCATGAAGTGCTAACAACATGATTCAAGTGCAGCAAATAGTAAAGAGCATCTTTTAAGCTCATAAATGTAAGACTTTTGCACCCTCTATTCACTATTGGCATAAAAATGAAAGTTGTTTGTTTTTATACTGATAGGATAGAATTATTAATTACATGCTCTTTCTGAACTTATTCCTTTTTTAATACTTTTATCAAATGATCATATTAAAAATCAGCTCAATATGTAAAGGTGTTTAGAAAAAAAGTCTGTATAACTGTTATTTTCACAAAATGTTCAAAGTCAAAGCTCGTTGTTTCGGCAAAAATCAGTGGAGCTGAACCAAACGTCAACTCGCTCTGCAACTCATCGTAGTAGACTCACATACTAAAAATCGGCTAAATATGTGAAGGTGTTTAGAAAAAAAGTCTGTATAACACTTTAACTGTTATTTTCACAAAATGTTCTGTCCAAAGCCCTTTGTTTCGGCAAAAATCAGCGGAACAGAACCAAACGTAAACTCGTTCTGTAACTCATCACAGTAGACTCACATACTAAAAATCAGCTCAATATGTGAAGGCGTTTAGGAAATAAAAGTCTGTACAACTGGTCGTTAAGTTATTAACCCAGTAATATAATAATGTACTTGTCCCAAGTCAAGAATCTCATCAGTGTTGTCTCTAGTTACTGTGGATTTATTATTATTCATGGGATACTTATTTTCAGTCAATTCCACTGTCCAATAAAATTGGCATGTCCCTTTAGATTTGTATGCAGAGTTTATCAAAACCATGAAACAAGTGTCCATGAATTCTTCCTCAATTCAGGAAAACTGGTAAACAATAGGGAATTCTACAGTATGTACCTTTCCTGGGTTTTTTGTTGGGTTGTTGTCCCACTGACATATACTCTACACCTCTCTTCATTCCTTTATTTCACAAAGAACCAAAAAGTGTACACAGACAATAAAAACCCATACAAAAGTATGACGCAATAATTTTGTTGCCATTTGAATGAGGTTGAAAAGCACTAAAACTGATGAATAAGCACTTGTTATAAAGTTCCAATGTAAAGTGATTGCTCATATAGATACTAATGACATAGTCAAAATTTACTGAAAATTAGTGCATAATTTACAGTGAACTTTATCATGTTTATGCTACTGACAAAAAAAATATATAAACAAAAGAAAAGTAGTAAAGTAAATATTTCAAAATAGCAGCAATATCTTGAAAAAAAGAATTGTGAGACATCAAGAAAGCAATGTGGAAATATTACAACAGGGAAAGAGGCTGTGAAAAAATTAGCAATACAGCATTCACAGATATATAGTTTTATACTAGTAAAGTTTTGATTGTAGTCAGTAAAGAATGCATTATTTAAATACTACTATTACTAGTCCAGTTAAAATAATCAAACAATTGGATAATATGTGATACATCTAATAAAAGTTATAACAGTTAAGCATATATTTGTCATTCAACAATATGATTGATTGCAAAATGGAATGGAATGAACGTTATGTTTCAAAATGCTTCAAAAAAAAATATGTCCCAATTTGTCAAATCTAATACATTGTAATAATAATAAAACTATCTCCCTTCATTATTTATGTTACAGTACTTTTTATAATCTTTGCTTCTATGCTTTTCATGACTTATAACCTATATGGATTTCTGAAGTTTGTCTATTGACTGATATAAACTTAATATGCCTCAATGTCAGTGAAAGTCATGATCAATAAGTTATGGATTTTTGTTTGATCGAAGATCCTTTTTTTCTGTAAGAATCAAAGAAAAAAAATCATAAAAGGGACTTACTATAGTTTGAGGTAGATGTGGTGTTCAAGTCACTGGTGCCTGAACTACCATGTTCCACTGTATTTTGAAATTTGTTTGTATAATAATTATAAAAAGTTACTTATGTGTACATGCTTATATATAATTCACAATTAAAAACTGCCCTGTATTGACCTAATAAAATGGCACACTTCTATGCACATATATATATAGTATGCATATACATCAAATCTAATATTTCATCATATATCATTCTATGTATCATTAAATTATATTACATGATTTATAAATGCATAGTTAAAAAGTTATTACACAACAATGTAAAACTTACAAACTTTCACACTTCAATAGTTCCAGGACTTTCATCTATATACCTGAGTCCCTCTTTGTAAAAGTCTGAATTTATCTTAGGAGTACTGACAATTGGTTTTACAACACTTCCACCATTCAAACTTTCTGATGATTGTATAATTTCTCTATCGCCAGGTGTCAATATAGGTGAAAATCCAGGTGTATTATCTAATCTTCTTAATACCTGTCTCTTTCCTTCATTTTGGACAGGTGTATGAAAATGACTTGAATGACGTCTCACCCTTTCATCTTTGTAAGGACCTTTACTTGATCTCCTGCTGATCTCTGCTTCTGATTCTGTGTCTGAATATGCATAGCATGGATTGGTGACAGCTTCTGACTGGTAAAGACTCAAGTCATTAGTATATGCTGGTGCCTTCTTTTGTGTATTCCTGGGTACATGTTTCTTTTTAAAATCATCAACAATTGTTCTTGGTTTAATGTTTGTAAAACTGTCATTCTTTTGAACATTGTATGTTTTGTTAGTGGTCTCTACTTCTGATAAGTATCTGGAACCATCCTTGCTTTTAGGTTCAGAAGAGTAATTGTGTTGGCTTGTTGTTGATGACTGGTGCCTCCAACTACCAAGGCTGTAGACATTCTCTTTACTCTCTTTATAGTCTGAGGTATCCTTAGACCTAAATTTATAAGGAGAATTTTCTAATTCTCTGACTTCTGTGTCTGATGACTTGGCAAAAACATCATCAGTCATGTCAGCGACGCTATTTCTATATCGTTCGCGGTCAAACAGGTCAATACTACGTCCAAGTCTCTGTGGTGAATCATCAAACTCTGACACTGATAATGATGAATCTTTACTAGATCTATGTAATGGCTTACTCAATGATGACTTTTTAAGCAAAGATTTTCCTGGTCGAAATGGGGAATTGCTAAATTTTTCTAATTTAACAGGGGTCAAGTCTTCCCTGATTATTTTACCAGGACGGAATGGAGAGTTGTTCATTACTGCCACTTTCACAGGAGTCAAGTTACTCCTTTGCAGATTTTTAACAGGTGTTTGATCTTCAAATCTAACAGATTTATGATCCTCTTTGACACTTTCATCTGCTAATGTAATGTCTTCAAAAGAAGTATTTTCTTCATTATGTGATGGTGTCTTGTTGATGACACTTTTATCACTGTACCATGATGTTGTATCTGATTCACTTAAAAGATAACTTAACCCTGGCAGGCTTTTTGCATTTTTCATATTTGATGATATTTTATCATCAAGTGCATCATTTTCCAATTGTTTGTGAGAATTTGTTCTGTTGAAGGTGTCAGGAAAATCACCATCACTTCCCAGTTTTGTTGAAAATTCATTATCGCTTCCCAATTTGGTGACAAATGTTAAACTATTTTGAAGCTTTTCACCATTCAAACATTTCAGTGATTGCGATTTAGCTACTGAATATCCACTATCTGTGCTCTTGTCAGTTGTAGAAGAATACCTTTTATAATTATGACCACTAGACATTGAGCCACTGGTTTCTCCAATGTCACTTGTGGACATTCTAGACCGTAGTTCAGATGAATCATGAATGTATGAACTAGACATTTCAGGAAAGTTTGATGAAGAAGACTCCAGTCTAGATTGAGATGTCTGATTACTGGACAAGCTGGTTCCATAACTATTGATTGATCGAGTGTTTTCCTCCTGGACATAACTACTTGTAAGTGATGGTGTGGTGTCAGAGGTATGATACTCAGTACTTGAAGTACCATCATGTAGTTGTTTTTGAATTCTTGTCAACATTTTCTTTGACCAAGATCGTAAGCTATTGTTGTAATCGTCTGAACCATCTTCCTCTATTGAATTTAATTTAGATTGGGATGCAGAAGACATATAATATTCCCCAACTTCTGGACTGTTCACATGGAATGATGATATATCTCCAAAAAAATTTGATAATGCTGATGTTCCATAGTCTAATGAAGAAAATTCCCTTGATGATTGGTGTGATGATCTCCGTGATTTGTCATTAGGAGTCATGTTTTCTTTGTTACTACTTTCTAAAAGATCTTCATCTGAAGACTGTAATGAACTCCCTGTACCACTGTAATCATTTTGATAATTGTTTTCATAATATTCATGAGCTATTGGCTGCAAGTTATCACAATGTTTATTTTCTGTGTTTAAAAAGTTGTCATATTTCTGTCTTACATCATTACTATCATTGACACCAGTATCAAGTTTCCTCCACGTGACTTGAGACTCACTTGTTCTACGTTTGAGATTTGTTGTTGTTATGATTTGTATGATTTGATTTGCTGTATTGTTCAGACGATTTTGTGATTCATCCCATAATTTCTTAGGATCCAAGGGAGATAAATCACAAGCAGATGCTTTATATTCTGGGGAAGCATAAAAACTATCATCATCATTACTGACACCACTGACTTCATGTTGTGAAGATTTTGAATTTTGTCCTGTCAGCGCAAAGGCTCTTTCTGAGTTGGAAAGACTAGCCACTGAAGCACTCCTTTCTGGATCTAATAAAACCTGGTTAGAAAATGAAAACGTGTCTTTAGAATTACTAATATAACTAACAGATGGTGGAGAATAATTGATCAATGGTCTTGAACTTGATGTACTTAGGTAGGATGATTTGGTAGATGTTACGGTACCATTCCAATCAAGATTTCTATTCCTTGATCTCCGGCTAAAACTGTACCTGGAATTATTCAAATTTTTGCTAGAGTCTGGTGTATCAGTTTTGCTGAAATATGTTCCATTTTTCAAGATATCAGGTAAGGAGAGATTTAATGACATGTTGTCAAGGTTACTGTATCTACTTGTTTCTGTAGTACTTAAACTAATTGAAGCATTCAGCCAATCTGCTACTCTTGCCACAGAATTGTTCATAGGAAATATGGGATCTCTATTTCTGTCCTATAAATAAAAGAAAAAGATATCAAATCAACAGACAAAACCTAAAACATGAAACTGTACAGAAATCCTATGGTTGTGTACTCTCATAAGAGCTTTGTTTAGATTAGATTTGATGCCCTGTTGTGAAGGACTAGACTTTAAAATTGACATCTGCTGCTTCTCTGCCAAAGATTCAATACTGGTTTGTAGGAGTATAACATAGCAATGTTGACTGCTGCCTTGTGATCAAGCACATTAGGAATCAGACTCGGTGTTCCAATCAAGTACAAAGCAGGGTGTATTAATATCACATAACATGTTATTGCCTGAATATGTATTTTACATTTGAGACTGGATTTTAAACAATCAATCAAAAACCATGAATACTGATTTTTCATTTTTTCAAAGTGCTAAATATGATTGCATTTTTGGTGGAAGATACCATGGTGCTTGGATATACCCTTCTGTCCTTTTTCATCAGATGATAGACCATAATTTAAAATTATAATCATAACATCTTGCTATTTCTGGAAATGACCTTACTGATTCTACTGCCCCCTGCCTATTTTGACAAAGTACAAATAAAGCTGTATTTCAATTTTGGTGTTCATTGCCCTGTGCTTCCATCTAGTTAAATTATCTTTTGGTTTGTTATATAATTCCCATAATTAGGAAATAAACAAGAACAAATTTCTTTAATAAACTGTTAACACAGAGATATGTCTCGCCTTTTTATTATTTTGATAATGCAAATGTTGAAATTAAAATAGCAATATTTTAACATGTAAGTAATGCAAATATTCAAATTCAATTAACCATGACTAAAGGTGCATGGCTAAACATTCTCCATGGAAATGAGATGTGCCAATGCTAATACAACTGCATATCAAATACCATCATAAGTCATTCCCTTTAAGCAAACCTAAACACAAATATTAACTTTCAAAGTCAATGGACCATGACAGAGGGGATGGGCCAAATAATCTCCATGGAAATGAGATTTGCCAATGCTTATACAACTGCATACCAAATATCATTGACCTACCACTAGTGGTTTCCCATAAACTGACCTAATCACAAACTAATACATGTAAACCAAGCAAAAGTTTCAAAGTCAATAGACCATGACTGAGGGGGCAGGGCCAAATAATCTCCATGGAAATGAGATGTGTCAATGCTAATACAACTGCATACCAAATATCAATGACCTACCACTAGTGTTTCACCATAAACTGACCTAATCACAAACTAATACATTGTTTACGACGCCGCCTCCGCCTCCCGAAACAGCATACCTTTGTCTCGCTTTTTGACTCAGTCATAATGTATTTTAAACTTACAGGTAAAGAATTGGCTCTTTTAAACCAATATGCTGTTAGATCTTTCTTGGTTTCTGCTGTTCGACCAGTAGGATGACAACAACAGTAATATCCAATCATTAAAATTCCACCTAAAAGTACATGCATTCACATTTTTATAGAATCTATAAACTTTATTTTCAAACACCCCATTCATAAAAATATGAAACAAAGACAAGACTTTTTGAATTCAATCTATAACTGCATCTAGTGTGATAAACTATTTCTTCTCTTGAGACAGTTGAATTTTCAAATTTAAAACATCAGGCTTAACATTTTAATTATCTAAAATTTAACTGTGGAAAAAGAGAAATGTTGTGTTGCACAAGATACTGTGGTGTAATCTGTTTCTATAGTTATTTTAATTTTAGACAATATCTACAAAAACTTTCTATTATCAAAAAATAAAATTATCAATTTTGCACCATTAAGAAAGAATTAGAGTAACAGCTCTTTCACTGGAGTATTTCAGCTGTTCGAAATATTAGACCTTTCCAGAATTCTTCAGAAAAAACAAAAAAAACATGGTACATTCAATTTTGAGTGACCATCAAGAGATCAATGGTTACAATTTCCCTTTAAAATAAGCATTTTTTTCCCAGTTAAAACCAGGGCTTCCAAAATTTCCTGACGACAGCCGGACATTTTTCAAAGAAATATTTTTGACGGTCAATGATCAGCTGGATACTTAAATGTAACTGAGAGGATGCATAAATTGATATATGTGTCTAAATAATTAGTAGTGTTATATGCAATAAAATTATTTATAACTGTTTTGTTTTCTTCATTCTAAAAATAAATAAAATATTATCCTCGGTATTGTGTCATTTTTCTGTGTATCGTAATACACTGCATTATACAGTAACCATCATTGCATCAATCAGCTTCAGTACCTGACTGTTCTCATGTTTTTGTTTCTTTTTATATAATCTATCTTCTCTCTGTGAGTACTTAACACTTTGTAAATTAAGGGTATCTTATTTGAAACTGTTGATGTTGGCTTTAATTGCAGTACAACTTGATCATCAATACACGTGATACTTTTTTCTTTTTGTGTATTGATTACCTGACCACGTGACTTTTACAACTGATGCGGTATTTATAGATAACATTGAGGAGGCCCAATGAAGGATATTGTTTTAAACCGTGTAAAATCTACTGCACAGTAATAACTTTTCTTTATACAATTTCCCAACCTGATTTAGAAAATAAGAAGAATAAATAAAAACATACTCAGTTGATAAATAATTTTTTAAAACTAATTTTCAGTTCACCAGCTTTGAGGTATGATAAGTACAAAATTAAATGTTTTTGCGTAGCCAGATCAGTTGACTCGTCGATCATAATTCCCACGGCGGGACTTAACTTTACGTCGGACATAACCTCTTTCTCTATAATATCGGAAATTGTCTGAATAAATTCGGAGCAGGCATTGTTCTCTTGATGTAATTTAGAAGTGATAACGGCACCATTTAACTTAGTTAAATCATTTATTGACTGAAATTTGTCCATTGGTAAGTTTTCTTTAGCAATAAAGTAAGCATTACGGAACAATGTGCACATTGCGTTGTCAGTCTTTTCATGAACTTTCTCAAATACTGATACAATTGGATTACTTTTGGAAGCTGTCTCTAATTTAAGAGCTTGAACGTGGTCATTGCTATTAGCATGCTCTACAACGGCTGACTTTCGAAAAGTTATTTTTAAGTTTATGTTTTTGACAAATGTCACAAAACATGGCATTTAGCATACTGTCAAATCTTAACCATAAAAACAGTTGTAGCCATTTATGAATAAAGCTTCTAGCATTTTTAGCAGATTTCGAATTTTGATCGGAATCGTCACGTTTACGTTTGCCCATGATGGCAGTTTTGTAAAGTTCAATTTGAGACAAAGTCTTTATAACAGTCGGAGATTGTCATGATTGGATATTCTTCTTTATGATTTCAATTATAAAAACAGTTTTTAATATGAAAACAAGAATAGAGAACGCCCCCCTTATTTATTGGACAACTCAGCTATTCTCGGTGTTTTTCCTATATATTTCAATAAATTTTCCCCTTCAGAGTACCCCAGTATTTAACACGATGTACAGTGTTAAATAAAATAATATATATCATACTTATTCATTTATAAATATCCTTATTTGAAGAATAACTTTTAAATATCAGGATACTTTTTTAAACTGAATGCTCATTTAAATAATATCTATAAAGCGTAATTAAATAGGATGTTGTTCCATACACGCTTACATGTTTGACCTCGTTTACCTGATCACCTTTATGTACAGTGTTATGCATCATTAATTCTATTGATAAAGACAAGCTAAGGACACCTCATCAAAGGTTACAAACCTGTAATCAGTGAATGATTTATGGCTTCAATAAAACTTACTGAAGGGATAATTGTTTGACAGCTTGTTGTTATTTAAATAAAAGAAAACGTGTTTTATCTACTTTTTATTGATGTACACAAGCTAAAGACCAAGCGGTACATTTATGTACCCAGAGGATTAGACTAACTGAGACACTTCAAAGTATCTGAAATATGCTGCATCTGTTTTATTAAACCCAATTATGACCGAAATATCTTTGTGAAATAGATTGCCACAATTATAAACTAAAATGCTCAAACGGACATGCCCAAAGCGCCAAACGGACATTTCTATCGATCGATAGTTGGTAAAAATTGAAATGACCGTTTTATGATAATGCCTTGAATAACAAAAAAGTGGCAAACCAATTCTATTTGACCGTTTGAGGCTGAGAGCAGCCGGACTTTTTATGAAAGTTTCGGTCAAGTCCGGAATATATGACCGTTTTGGAAGCCCTGGTTAAAACATTAGGTTATGAACAAAATTCCAGCAAATTTTTCAAGCAATATCTGCAATTTTTTAGGATCTGAAAGGAAGGATAAGCTTTTTTCGCTGACAAATTCATGTCAAAAGTTACAGAATAAAGGAACAAGTTTAAAGTGTAAGGATATTTTTATTTCATTGTGGTAGAGCTATATTTTTATGTTTTACATTAATTAAGGTTTTATGTTATTAGAATATATACTTGATATATTCTATTTACATTTATTATAATTTGTAGTCTGCTAGTTTATTCAGGTAGAACATTACCTATTGATTAATTTCTTTTCTATTGGTCAGTATGATTTAGGCGGGAATCTTTTGTTTAACTTTTCTTTATTTTGGACAGTTGGCTAAAGTCTTTATATGAAGTGTAGCCATTTTCTTCGGCTTATTTGGAAGTTGTTATATCTTTACTTTTGAAATAGTCTAGGACTATCATATTCTTATATAAGGTATTACATATATTGTAAAGAATGTAAACTGATTTAAACCAATCAGTTGGTGAAGCAAAGACCTTTGCACTACATGTGAGAGTCATTTTTCACTTAGAATATTTACATCAATTCTGATGAAATAAAAGAACCATAGACCCATACAACGTGTTTGTGTTTTATTTGAATACAAGGGAAACACGACTACATCAGTATTTTAGAACTCCGCTACTAATAATTAATATTTTAAGTCCTCTACATTTCTATACTTACCAAGAACAAAACCTCCAAACACTAGAGATAAACTTGTAATCTCTAACCATGCTGGTGTATTCTCAGGTTTATAGATAAACCATAACAACATCATGAGAGCATTCTCAGCCAGGATAAAACAGTAAAATGCTGCCATTCTACTTTTTGATGGACCTTCTTTTAGGTTGAGGAAACAGAAGATATAGATGAAGCCAGAAATGGAATTAAACAAACGTTTCTCACAGGCTGTGTCTCCATATTCTGCATTCTGCATGGTTATCCAAAACGTCATAAATATCCAGTGTATTCCTGTAAAAAAATATAATTTATGCATTAAATTGATTACCATGATCATATGAGATTACTAATGGCAAGAATGTAACATATGCATATTATCAGGTTTGCAGAAAATACAAATGCTTGTGCAATTTAAGTCAAAAATTGAAATACAAACAGAGGATCTGAATTTCCATCACAGTATGATTGATTTGTTGTTATTTACATAAACATCAATTGGCAAACACTTGATGCAAATTTAAGTCAAATCCGTCATCACAATAAACCAGTTTAGTTTGGATACTTGTTTAGTCATCCATTTTTCAAAACAAAAACAAAATCAAAAAGTAATTTGAAGTCTTAACGTCACAGTACCCAAATTGCACTTATTTTACAAAAAATCAGTAGAAATCATACAGGTTTTCTTAGTGACTAACCCATTCGTATTTTTATAATTTGCCATTGTGCACGCCTTTCAACATAGCAACTATATCTAAATATACTCAAATCGGTTACATCATGTATCAGCAGATGATGTATCTAGTGAAAAAAGAGTTTTTTTTAGAAACGTTGCATGCGACGTCCACAAAAAGTCAACTTTTAAAAATGAGCAATTAAAATATGTTACAAGCATCAATTTCTAACAAAGTGAATATAAGCATGGACTATTGTCAAACTGTTTTAAAAATGTGGAGAAATAAAACAAAACATCAGTTGTTCAATTTTTACAGAAGTGAAGTTCAAGCATTGGGAGCAATTTAGGTACTCTTCATTACAGAATCTTGGGTCGTTTAAAGGTGGGTTCAAACCCATTTTTAGTATGGATTCAAAACTAAACTTGTGGCAATATATAGTAAATAAGGATACATCTACAAAACAAAAACAGAATGGAAACTTTGTCTATTTCTTACTGTGACTTGACTGTAAGTGTTGCTCTCCCCCTTTTGCAATTTACTAAAAATTCTGACCAAATTGCAATTTGTTTTATCAAACCAAACTGTTCAACTGGTCAGAAGTTTTAACAACACTGCTGTAGCAAAACGAAGTCAAATCATGAAAGTGCAAGGTGATAAAATAAAGTATAAATAAAAGTAGGTGAACAATCTGTCAAAATAGGTGCAACTTGGGTACCCTCAAGATATAATTTTAACCAATATGAATGAAAGCAAATTCATTACAAACCCATTCCTAGGAATACCCAGGCTTGAAAAACCAAAGAGAAGACAACTAGTGCTGTAACTCTGGACAACAACATCCACGACTGCCATACTGTCAGTATAGTAACACCTAGCCATGACCTTTTGTGATGTTCTTTGTAGGCCATTTTCAGGGCATCACTGTAGGACGTCAGAGAAAAGGCTACTGATGTGAGTGACAATACAGTAGATACACCTAAAATAAAAGGCATATTTAAAAATTTGTCCTTTACCAAGTTTTAACTCTGTTAAGATCAAATTTCTTCACTGAATACAAGCAAATGAAGGATATATACTTTATTTATTTAATGGAATATATCAAGCCTGCTAAGACTGTTAGTTAAGGTTTATTGGAATATATCAAGCCTGCTAAGACTGTTAGTTAAGGTTTATGAAAATATTTCATAATTCAGAAAAGGTCTATCTTTGGCATGCTTAGGCTCATGATCATCTGCTTTACTGACATCCGTAGCATGAGTGTGCTTGTTTGTGTGAAGTTAGGGATTATGGACACAAATTTTTCATTAGTGATTTGGTAAAGTGAATTGTGTAATGTACTTGAATCCATATGTTGTCTACTCAAGCTACATATTCACTGACAATAGAGGTGAAACTGAATTCGATTAATTTAACATTTTCAAAAATCTAACCAGCCATTTATTTGAAGAGTTGTTTACCTATCAGCCAATTGTAATGACTAAACTTTAACATAATATAGAGCTGTAATACAAGTTGTGGGGCTGATTCAGTAAAAGCCTCAATAAGCCGCAGTAGAGAAACATCCACATTGGCCCTCAACGCAGCATCTAGATCATCTTTCTGTTTGGTTTTTCTGGATATATATCCCAACCTAAGTACTTCAATATACCTGAAAGAATATATATATATATATATACAGGTTTAGGATTGTAGTTTGTTGCAGTACATGTATATCATATTTGTTTTTCGTTTATTGTTTTGTACATAAATCATAGTTAGTTTTTCCCGTTTGAATTGTTTTACATGTGTATGTCAGAGTTTTGTCTGTTATGCCAGTCAGGGGTACTACTTGTACAAGTTTTTTTTTTATCTATTTGAAGAAGTAAATAACAATATACTTATACATGTTATATAAGTAAATTTGTTATGTTCATATTTTCTTACAAGTTTTTGAATAATCTCCCCTTAATTTTCCCAAAATATTAACTTGTATAAGTATTTTTTTTTTTACAATCCCTAAAATTCTCAAGTTTTGGAATGTAAAAACATGCCTTAAACAATTTTTCTCTGGTTAGCTCATAACTTTTTATTAGAGCTCAATGTTTCATCTCATTAGTTCAACAAAGAAACTAATTGCGGAAAGATCTTAATTGTGCAAGGCCGTCAAAAATTGCCCCTTGGAGGCTTGTAAATGAGCAGTGTTTTGAAGATAACAGACAAATGAGATTTTCATTGTCCATGAAATTACACTTAAATGATTAGTAAAGACATTTGCAAAGGACAGACAATTAAAAACTTGTACAAGTAAAAAATCTGAATGTCTAAGGGACATAACTAAGCCATTAAAACAATTTACCTATACAAGTAAATAAAATACATGTGTATAAGTATCTTACAAATTTACTTATATAAGTATATTAATATTTACTTCTTCCAAGTAAATAAAAATAACTTGTACAAGTAGTACCCCAGACTGTATGTGCCAACAAAAGCTGACTTATCTGCACAATGGTGCAAGGAATACTACATGTGGTAAGAATTTTTTCCATTTTATAATAGTTTTGTCTGTAATGTGTAAACAACAGCTGACTTACCTGTGCAATGGTGCTAGGAATACTACATGTGGTAAGAAGTTTTTCCATGTCAGGGTTTTGTCTGTAATGTGCCAACGAAAGCTGAACAATAACATGGAAACTGATGAAAGAGCAAGAAATGCCAAACTTAGGGACCCCCATACATAATGTCCATCCAAGTAGAAAACTACTATAATAAAAATATCTGCAATGAAATAAAACCAGTATTAATTAACATAATTAAAGTTCATTAATCTTTATGACAGTTTTAAAACAGATACTGAAGAGTCCCAAATGCATACACATAAAAATGTGAAATACCACAATGTCACATGTATATTTTTACTCCATCTTATGCCATAAAAAATATATGTGTACAGGATTTTCTTTCTCTAAAAAATCCTGCCATTTGTAATTTATCAATGAACAAACGCATGATTGTTAATAATTTTTTTTATCAAGAAATTAGTGCCTCATATATTTTGATTAAAAAAAAAACAAGCGATACAGCAGCTCATCTGTTGGGAAAAACATTTTGAAGGAATCCACTTTAAAATGTTCGTTTTGGTGCTCAAAATTAGTGATAGGGTCGGTGGAAAAACACATAGCTTTTTTTCAAGCCAGAAAACTCCATACAGAATGTTTTTATAGACATGATATCTAGAGGGTTCAATTTTTAAAAAAATTTAAAAGTCAACCAAATATAACATGAATAATAGGCCACCTTTTTTAATTTTAAAAACACAAGAGCATCCTTTTCCGATCCATTTATCAGAAAACAAACATAAAGGAAACAATGCTGAATATAAACAGAATGAAGTGTCCTTATACAGTACCAACAGCAGTGTGTTCCAGATGAATTTTACTGCATATATAGTGGCATCAAAAGATTATTTAACTTCATCCTTGCATTCAATTTCATGGAATATGTAAAATTATTTAGTTTAGTTGAGAACCTGACAAAGGTAAATAAAATTGAAATGCAATTTTATGATTTAGAAAAACAAAAACTTTCCGGGAATTGAGATTTAATAAATCTTTGAACATCCTCGGATATAACATTCAAAACTATTCAAACCGAAAACTGACCGTCTGTTAAAGTTATCATTTTACGATGATTTTTATCTGAGGATGTTGCGTAATCACTCAGCTGATTTTTGTTTTGTTTTTATTTATTACAATTTAATCAAATTGTACTATTCGGTAGGTTAAGGGTGGGAATTATCGGTAGATTTATTATATTCATTGAATAAAAATGGAAATTTAAAAAGAAGAAAGCCAGCTGATGACAGGGCCTAATCTAGGATTTTGGAGAGGGAGAAGTGACTTCTCCTTCCTTGAGAGAGAAGGGAGAAGTGGTCAATTTCTTGGAGAAGTGAGATTGGAATCAATTCAATGAACATATACATGTACTTGACATGAAACTAAATTTTTGTTTTTTTTGTTTTTTTTTTGGTTTAATTTACTATATTTGTTATTTTATTTTTCTTAATCACCTTTTATTATTATTATTATATTTTTTAATTATTTAATTCTCTATACTTTTTTTGTCCTTTTTAATAATTTACCTTTATAAAATCCCAACAAAGTGTTATTTTCAAGTTCAAATACTAGACATTTTCTGATGAGTTGTATTATATTACATTTTGCCCTTTCCAAAATGATCAAAAGTATTTCTGTTCGATTTTGTGATGTTTTTCCTAATATATAATATATATACTAAAGAAGAATTACCCAAACATATAAAAGCAAATTGTAGAGTAATCAGCCATTGTCACTGTACACCAAAATTTTAAAAAGTGTATACATGTACAAAATAAATACACAAGTTAATTTTGTGGTTAAAACTCACTGCATAAATTCAAATTTTTTTTAATAACCTTCATACTAGACAGCGGTAACATTATTTCCCCAAAACACACAAGAACTGATAGATATTACCTGAAAACTTTATTTTATAGGTGTTATACTGCTTTTATTGATATTAAAGTATATAATTTTGAGAGATGTCATTTTACTCAATAAAAATACAATTTCACTTCAGGAATTGGATTTGTGTGTCTTGTATGCAAGTTCCTTGCATAACAATATGGTGGATGTAATTATTCAAAAGGTAGATACATTTGTACATGTAACTGTATCGAAATAAAATAGTAAAAAAGTTCAAAAAGGATTGGTTTCTTTAATAATGGAAATTTGAGTTGTAAATACATCATTTAGAAAACTGAAATTTGAAAATGAATGATTAATAATTTATATATTTATTTAGATAGAGTTAGTTTTCTTTTGAATATTTACATCCACCATACTGTTATCCACATTGAACTTGCATACAAGACACACAATTCGAATTCCTGAAGTGAAACTGAACCTTTATTGAATAAAAATGACATTTCTCAAAATTATATACTTTAATATCTGATAATTTGTAAAAGCAGTACAGCACCATATGAAATAAAGTTATCGGGCAACACATATCGGTTCTCAGTTCTCTGGAAATAGTGGTACCCACTAGACAGGGGTTTTGGCTTCACCTTTAAATCCCAGACTTCTTTCGGTCTGTACTTTCAATGATATAAATAAACCTTAAATTGTCGCTATTTGGGAATCTGCATTGTCAAACAATCACTTTCCCTTTGTGACATCAGACATTTTGTATTGTGACATCAAAATTTCACAGGAACCTTTGTGATGTCCAGTAATATTAATGGCAGACAAAATAGCGATAAGTTGTATTGAACAAAATGTAACTTATTCAGTCATTGATCAAGCAATCAAATAATTTATTAGACTGAAGGATGATTTAGAAAACGCTAGTTACAGATGCTGAATTTTGAGAACCTAAACCTTTAAATTTCAGTTCTTAATCAGACAACAGCATCTGGATTTATTTCCAAGATCAAAATATAAAAACAAACAGAACGTATTCATTTTAGTTAATCCTGATAATGGACAGTTTTTCGTACCCGAAATTATGTCTAACAAATATGACAGTAGACTGATGACAATAACAGTCATGTCATAGACTGAAAATGATTTTTTAATCATTTCTTCAGTTTTTAAATTTGAAACTTGGCGCACTTGCTTCCTGTTGGTCATCCATTTTAAAACTTTATTTTATTGTAAAGTGTGTCACTACATTAAAAATGAAACCAGTTATATAACCTTTATTGAAATATTTTGTTTCTTTTATTTTTGCTCTAAGTATATAAGTAGTTTTACAGTATTTTATCACCTTTTATGCTTTACCATAAAGATACAATTATGTTAAAGAAAGCAAGTTGATATAAAGATTAAATGAACACTTCACTTCAATAACCAAGATGTCTGCGCCCATTATACTCCATTAAAAATGTTCGCCCGAAATGACGAGTGAGATTGAGAGCTTTTTATTAGACATATATGGTAATTAATACATATACAGAGATAATGTTATTTGTAATTTATGCGTACCGATTTTAAATTAAATTTCTATATCTAGATATCTGGACTTATTCATCAACCCTTTACCTTGCTGTTTACTACCACCAATGATGTGTACTACAGTACAGAAATCCTTGCTATATGTATATATCACACATCGAACTTACTAACTACAAATGTAGAATCGTTCTCTACACTTAATTTATTCAGAGAACAGTTGCCACTTACTGTTCTATACCAAAAATAACAATTAGAGGACACTCTTTAAAACTATTTAAGAAACAGTGTAAGACGACACATAGATTAAATACTTTTTCAATTAGAGTAGTGACAATGACTTTGAATTATTTTAAGTATGCGTTAAATGGCGAAAATTGGAACCTGTATACATTTATGTGTTCGTGTTAATTGTTATGTTGCGCACACCTATATAAGTTTTCTATAATATAGAAAACTTATATAAGTTATACTAATAAAAAATAAAAACTTATTAAGTTCATGCATTTAGTACATTGTAGCTATGCAGTTTTGTAGTGAACTTTTAGTATGTTAAAGTATTTATGAATCTGAACATTTCCTTACCATCGTTACAATGGTGTTTCAACAGTGAAGTAATCTTGATAAATAAATTATGTAAATAAAAGCACATGGCAATTACTCTGAATATAAGAGAATCAGGGATGAGCTAATCCTTCCATTATCTGATTATACCAAGTGTCCATGAAAAATGGCTTAAAAATTAAAGAAAAAGGAAATTAACTCCCTCCTTTTTCATCCATTCATTCACTTATACCGACTATATATATGCTGTAAACTGTAAATATATTCTTTTAAAAAAGAGAGCCAAAAGATACCAAAGGGACATTCAAACTCACAAGTCGAAAATAAACTCACAACGCCATGGCTTGAAAAGAAACGGACAAACAACAGTACACAAAACACAACATATATATATATATATATATAGAAGATTGAGCAACAAGAACCCCACCAAAAACGGGTGCTCCCAAAGGGTAAGCAGATCCTGCTCCACATGTAGCACCTGTCGTGTTTCTCATGTAAGTACAAACTCAGTGATAAGTCCAATTCAGTAGGTCACATTCAGGGAACAGGGGACAGGATTGTAGTTACGACAATATAAACAAATCCTCATTAATATACATGTAACATTTTCTACTATAAGTATAATAAAATAATTGAAATACGCTAAATTTGTTTTCTTGTCGCTAAATTAGTCTTCTTGCTGCTAAATTATTCTTCTTGTTGCTTCTTGTTGCTAATTAGTGAGACCCTATATTTGACACTATTTTAATTTGTAAATATTTTTTTTATATTTGTTCAACGCAAAGGCAGCAGTTAGGAATCATTAATAAAACAGGATCAGTATTTTTCCTGAAAACTTATATAGTTAAGCTTTGAGATTATGAATAAAAAAGTAATTTATTTTCTTTGTAAAAAGTTTAATGTTCTCAAGTGGGAACAAGGCTTTTTAAAGAGGTGATGGGGCCTTGGTTGTCGATTGGTCTAAGTAGATTATCTATTATATCACTAGCCTGTGAACATTGAGGTTGTGGTGCTTTAATCTAGAATCCTTAGTGCAGAAAGGTCACATTTGATGTCATTGTAATGGCTTAAAATTTTTTTAATTCGAAATTTATGTGTGTATTTTTCGTTTAAAATATATACAAGCAAGAGCTTTACCAATAAAGATATTTTTCACACACTAACATCTTTGTTTCTGTAGCAAAATATCTTTTTGGGTAAAGCTGTTGCTCATTGAGTCAATACTAAATAATAATGACTATGTAGCTGTTGCTCATTGAGTCAATACTAAATAATAATGACTATGTCTCAAAATTTTGGCAGTTTTTGTGGTTTTGCACTAAATATAAGAAGTTTTAAGCCTTAACGATCCCCTTGTACGAAAATATGCAATTTTATTTTGATGTAATATATTCAGAATTTAGAAAAACAAATATTGATTGTTCCAGTTATGGGTTCTTTAATGGCCTGAAATTCAAATATGATGACATTAATTGGTTTACACAGTATTACATCTTATATGCATGAAGGGTTTTGAATTAGTGATAGCTAGCATAGTTTTTATGCATTTTATTTTAATATCAGATGAATATAGTCATCTTCATAGCTGCTGGGATATAGTTATGCACAAGGATGTCTATTTGTTTTATGTCTGTTGTGTGAAATTTTGCAAAAGCATATGCCTTTTTTGTTTCAAATAGATGCTTGCATTGGTAACTTTATTAAATACATGTACCAACATCTTGATACTAAGTGACAAAATAATGGAATTAAATTAGAGTTGTTAACTTAACTTCCATCTTTTGAGATTTTAAAGTTCTCTTGACAGGTATTTTTTCAAATATCCGGTCTGAACATGATATATCTGTTCAATATAACGAAACAGTTCTGATCAGTGCAAATGTTATCTGCAGAACATTCATGATAAAATGTATATTTTATGAGTGAATAATTAAATTCATCTATATACTTTATAACTTAAATTTTTTTATCATGTTTATAGATATTATAATTATTTTCTTTATATGCTAACTGTACTTGAAAAATAATTTTTCTCATTTCAGTGATATGATTTCAAGAATAAGGTGTAAAGGACATAAATAAAATGGCTACAAAATTACCTCCCCTTCCAAGTATATCTGAAATTGTAAGAATGTACAAACTTAAAGCAAGAAAACAACTGTCACAGAATTTCTTACTAGACATGAATTTAACCAGAAAGACTGTCAAAGCAGCTGGAAATATTAGTGATGGATATGTCTGTGAAATTGGACCTGGACCAGGGGGAATAAGTCGATCTATCCTTGAAAAAGATGTCAGAGGGTTGGCAGTCATTGAAAAAGATAAAAGATTTATTCCAAGTTTACAGGTACATTTGTAATGTTTACATTATGGTATACTGTACATATTATAATAATTTGCTTTTTTTTTCATGAATGAAAATGAGGGGGAAAAACCTGACACCTTTTTTTCTGTGATCATGCTCATAAGTATTAAGATTTTCAAAGCTTTTTTCTTTTTCCAGAAAATTTAATAGTTTTTACTAAGGACACATTTTTATTTGTTTTTCAGAAATGGTGAAAAAAGACTATAAGATATGAACTAAAACTTAATTCCTCCTACAGTTTTCCGGCTAGGTTTTTAATTTTGTTGAATATTTTTACAGATAGTGACATATGTGTATAGGTGAAGATTATGATTTTATTGAATTTTTAAAAAATTACAGATACTTGAACTTAATACTATTTTTCTTAAAATTTGCATTGAATTGCAATACAATGTATTTGTTCAGTCATCTCCTATTACAGTTTTCTAGCTAAAAAGTGTTTATTAGGGCCCTGTTAAGAGTCAGCTGTACCCAAAAGTACATTATGTAATCACCATTTAATTGTCTTAAAAGTGAATCTTGTCTTGTGTTTGATATGTTAAAAAAATAAAATTGACCTGGCAGGGTTAGGGGAAACCAACAATCTTTTTTGCATGGTCCTACCAACGTACAGTCTCTTAGTCCTGTTAGTTTTGTACAACAATCTTTATTGCATGGTCCTACCAATGTACAGTCCCTTAGTCATGTTAGTTTTGTACAACAATCTTTATGGCATGGTCCTACCAAAGTACAGTCCCTTAGTCATGTTAGTTTTGTACAACAATCTTTATTGCATGGTCCTACCAATGTACAGTCCCTTAGTCATGTTAGTTTTGTACAACAATCTTTATTGCATGGTCCTACCAATGTACAGTCCCTTAGTCATGTTAGCTTTGTAAAATTTGGACACAAATTGTGGTAAAAAATTAGTTTTTGCTAAAAAAATGTTTTTAGCTTAAATGTTAAAGAAAACTTATGTTCAAGTGTTTACATGCTTAATATTCAAAATTGTTTTCAAATGTCGATAACTATTTTTGTGGAATTTGGACAAAAATTATGGTAATAAATGTAGTTTTGTTAAAATTCACAAGTTTTGAGAAACACATTTTTGTGCTAGGATTTCAATGAAAATTGTTATTTAGGTATAATAGGCTATTCAAAGTTGATACCAGGTGTAAAAAACATTACTGGGATAAAAACTTAATTTTGTTAGAAAATAAAAAAATTTGAGAAACACTTTTTTGTGCTAGCATTTCAACAAAAATTTATATATTGGTAAAACATGCTACACATGTATTCAAAATTGTTTCCAGATGTCAAAAAATTATTTTTTTGTGAAAAAAAGGTGGGTTACAATTTCTAAGAAAATTGATATAAAGGTTTGATATGCATTCAACATTGTATCCCGATGAGAATATTTTGGTAAAAACCTTCATTTTGTAAAAAAATTGAAAAACATTTATATTTTGCTAGGTTTTTAATGGAAATCAGTAAGTTGGTAAAATTTGCTATACCAAATGAATTTCATGTCGAAAACTATTGGTTGCCCACCATTTATGAAATGGCCACCAAAATACATGTACAAAGTGCTTGGATTTTCAAAACTTTAAATTTATATATAGAGAACAGTTTCTGATATAAAATCCTGGTGTCAAGATTTATGAAAATTGATACCTCATGAACATAAATTACTTTTTTTGCATCATTATTATCTATTTGTTCGTGTGTCATAAATTTACAAGTGGGGCCCTTGCTATCTGTCAGTTTTTGTCTCGCTTGAAGGAGTAAAAAAGGGAGACATAGGTATGCTGTTTCCAGCGGCATCAGCATCATCATCAACAATGTATTAGACGTGTTAGAAAAGAGATTTAAATACTGTGCTGATGTTAAATATCAATACCGAAACAAGATTTAAGTGTGAACTTTCTCAAAATACAATTGCATTGAAAAATATCCAGGCATGGTATAGTTTACCTTTGTGTTGTGTTTGATACAATGTAGAGAACAGTTAACGTCGACTCAAAATTTTAAGACATGCACAGGCATTTCATAGATATTAATATAGGTATTTGTATTTGATTGATTTAAGAGTGCAAAACAAAACTTTAAAAAATATATAAAAAATGGTAAACTGGAACGATGGATTTTACGGCCACAAGCATTAATATACATTGAGTGATATGAGTTGAATGTTTTAATAGTCAAAAAATTCGGTTTGTCTCTCCACAAGTCCAGCACACAATTAAACAATTTGATTAAAATCAGATCTTGGATGTCTCCACAAAGTTCAGATAACCCTAAATGTTTTTAAACGTCTGATGGTGTGTTCGACAAAATTCACCACTCTGAAATTCTTCTATCTAGTTTTTATACGACCGCAATTTTTGCGGTCGTATATTGGTATGACGTTGGTGTCGTCGTCGTCCGAAGACACATTGGTTTTCGCACTCTAACTTTAGTTTAAGTGAATGGATCTCTTTGAAATTTTACCATAAGGTTAAATACCACAAAAGGAAGGTTGGGATTGATTTTGGGGGTTATGGTACCAACAGTTAAGGAATTAGGGGCCAAAAATGAGCATTTTCTAGTTTCCAGACAATAACTGTGGAACGGTGTATGGATCTCTCTGAAATTATACTACAAGTTTCCATACCACAAAGGGATGGTTAGGATTTGCTTTGGGGGGGTTATGGCTCAAACCGTTTAGGAATTAGGGGCAAAAAAGGGGGAAAAACAAGGTTGTCCTGGTTAATGGACAAATACTTTAGTACAAAACATAATTTAAAGCAGTGTAAGGGAGATAAATCAAATACATCATTGAAATTACCTCCCTTACACTGCTTTTAAATTATGTATAAAGTAATGGTTAATGAACAAATAAGATAATTTAAAACAGTGTAAGGGAGGTAGTCCAAATACAACGTTTTGGTTACTTCCCTTACAGTGCTTTTAAATTATGTTTAAAGAAATGCATATTTATAAAGGAAGTCCAGTAAAAATATCTGCAAATGTTGCATCTTTTTTTTTACAAAAAAATCCATATGAAAGATTTGACACTATATTTTAAATTCTATTATAAAATAGATTAAGTTAGCACTATGGTAAATTTAAATGGGTAATTATGGTTGCAAACTCCATTGGAAATTTGAATTGAGATTATGACCATATCTTGAGGGAAAGAATTTTTTTGGGGAAAAAGGGGGTGGGGGTAAAAAGAAATTGTGGGGGGTCAATTTTTTCTCATTTCAGATTTCAGAAATTAAAAAGAATTATTCTTCAAATATTATTTTTTTTTCAAATTTCAAATATTGAAAAATTTCAAGAAGTAATCTTTAATTGCACAGTATGGCACATTAGATTTGTAAAATCTTTGACCACATTTATTAATTTGTTATGCTGAATCTAACCGTGAATTTAGATTTTCAATTTTGGGTCCAGTTTTCAAATTGGTCTACATTAAGGTCCAAAGGGTCCAAAATTAAACTTTGTTTGATTTTAACAAAAATTGAATATATGGGGTTCTTTGATATGCTGAATCTAAACATGTATTTAGATTTTCGATTTTTGGTCCAGTTTTCAAGTTGGTCTTAATTGGGGTCCAAAATTAAACTTTGTTTGATTTCAACAAAAATTGAATATATGGGGTTCTTTGATATGCTGAATCTAACCATGTATTTAGATTTTTTATTTGTGGACCCTGCTATCAAATTGGTTCATATTGAGGTCAAAAGGGTCCAAAATTAAACTTCGTTTGATTTCATCAAAAATTGAATTATTGGGGTTCTTTGATATGCCAAATCTAACCGTGGAATTTAATTTTTTTTTATTTTGGGTCCTGTTTTTAAATTGGTCTACATTAAAGTCCAAAGGGTCCAAAATTAAACTTAGTTTGATTTTAACAAAAATTGAATTCTTGGGGTTCTTTGATATGCTGAATCTATACATGCGTTTAGATTTTTGATTATGGGCCCAGTTTTCAAGTTGGTCCAAGTTGGGGTCCAAAATTAAACTTTGTTTGATTTCAACAAAAATTGAATATTTGGGGTTCTTTGATATGCTGAATCTAAACATGTATTTAGATTTTAGATTTTTGGCCCAGTTTTCAAGTTGGTCCAAATTGGGGTCCAAAATTAAACTTTGTTTGATTCCAACAAAAATTGAATATATGGGGTTCTTTGATATGCTGAATCTAACCATGTATTTAGATTTTTTATTTGTGGGCCCCGCTATCAAATTGGTTCATATTGAGGTCAAAAGGGTCCAAAATTAAACTTTGTTTGATTTCATCAAAAATTAATTTATGGGGTTCTTTGATATGCCAAATCTAACCGTGTTTTTAGATTTTTAATTTTGGGTCTCGTTTTTTAAATTGGTCTACATTAAGGTCCAAAGGGTCCAAAATTAAACTTAGTTTGATTTTAACAAAAATTGAATTCTTGGGGTTATTTGATATGCTGAATCTAAACATGTGTTTAGATTTTTGATTATGGGCCCAGTTTTCAAGTTGGTCCAAACTGGGGTCCAAAATTAAACTTTTTTTGATTTCAACAAAAATTGAATATATGGGGTTCTTTGATATGCTGAATCTAACCATGTATTTAGATTTTTTATTTGTGGGCCCCGCTATCAAATTGGTTCATATTGAGGTCCAAAGGGTCCAAAATTAGACTTTGTTTGATTTCATCAATAATTGAATTATTGGGGTTCTTTGATATTCCAAATCTAACCGTGTATTTAGATTTTTAATTTTGGGTCCTGTTTTTTAAATTGGTCTACATTAAGGTCCAAAGGTTCCAAAATTAAACTTAGTTTGATTTTAACAAAAATTGAATTCTTGGGGTTCTTTGATATGCTGAATCTAAACATGTGTTTAGATTTTTGATTATGGGCCCAGTTTTCAAGTTTGTCCAAGTTGGGGTCCAAAATTAAACTTTGTTTGATTTCAACAAAAATTGAATATATGGGGTTCTTTGATATGCTGAATCTAACCATGTATTTTGATTTTGGACATTGGACCATAATAGGTAAATTAAAAAATTCAAGTTCTTAGACCACATTCTTTCTGTGTCAGAAACCTATGCTGTGTCAAATATTTAATCACAATCCAAATTCAGAGCTGTATCAAGCTTGAATGTTGTGTCCATACTTGCCCCAACTGCTCAGGGTTCGACCTCTGCGGTCGTATCAAGCTGCGCCCAGCGAAGCATTTTATTTACATTTTCTTTATTTCCCCTCGTGGTGTTTTTCTTAGTTAGTATTTCATAAATGGCCTAACAATTGTTTGACTTTATATCTTTGGCGCTGGACTTAACATCTCCAGCACTGGACTTTATATCCACAGCGCTGGACTTTGCATCTCCAGCGCTATACTTTATATCTACAGCACTAGACTTTTTATATATCTACAGCGCTAGACTTTTTACATGTCTACAGCACTAGACTATATAAATATTCACAGCGATAGACTTTATATCTCCAGCGCTTGACTTTATATCTCCAGCGCTTGACTTTATATCTACAGTGCTTGACTTTAGATCTACATTGCTAGATTTAGATCTCCAGCACTGGACTTTACATCTCCAGCGCTTAACTTTAAAAAGCACAACTCTTTATCTGTATGAACCCAACAGGGCTCCGTAGATATAGGTGTATACTATAGTGTGAAGATATAACTAAGTCGAACGGCAATAACCTCACGTGAGTAAGGTTCTGTGAAAGTTTCACAAAATTCTATTGAGCTGTTCATGGATCAGATACAAAGATACAAAAATAGACAGATGGACGAACAAAAGAAAGACCGGAAAGATGGATCCCTCCACCTTTATACCTTCCTATTTAAAAAGCATGAAGAATATGAAAATTCGGCAAAACAAAATGAATGAAATAAAAAACAAATTGCATTGCAAATAATTACGCAGGCCTTGCAACATGTGAAAAAGAATTTTCCGTTTTTAGAATATCCTCCTGACACAAAAATAATAAAATTAACTTCTACTTATGAAAGCTTCACTCCGCTTTCAACAATATTTCTGATAAATCATAGTGATCTGTTTTGTTGGCGGAGACATAATACAAAAAAAAAAACACCAACTACCGACCATTATCACCGAAACTTCAATTTACCTCTTAGCTTGAATAGTTTTAATCTTTATTTAAAACTCAATTTGATAACATCTTCTGTCCAAAAAAATAAGTGACGAAAGTTGATAGAAAGAACATGTCAGGGAAAATGTGATGTATAATAATTAATTCACACAATTCCTCGAAGGGGAAAAATCTAACAATTCGGATATTTGAACCATATTTTGCAGTAATAGTACTTCAATAATTCCGCTCTCAGATTTATTATACACATCTACATAGACAGAAGACGAAGTTTCTTGAATTAAAAGCATACAATAAAACATGGTTATTTTGAATGAACAGTTATGATGAAAGTCGTCATCAGGACGAGGAGAGAAACATTGTTTGCAACTATAGGTCATTGTATGATATAAAAATAAAGGATATGGGGTATCAATCCATGACACAAAATTAGTACATGCACATAAAATAAACACAAAAAGCAAAGGAACAGCGCTTTTATTGCTGTTCTTCATCTCAAATCACAGTGAGGCCTTCAACATGGAGCAAAAAAAAAAAACTCTCAGCCCACTGCAAGTTTAAGACGGCCCTTAACAAGGAGCAAAACACATACTGCATAACAACTATAAAAGGTCCCTACATGAAAAGAGAATAGAGAATGGAAAACGGGGAATGTGTCAAAGAGTCAACAACTGGACTAAGGAGAAAAAACAGCCAAAAACCACAAATTTATCTTCAACGTAGTAAGAAAATCCCGCACCAGGAGGCGAGCTTCAGCCAGCCCTAAACAATAATGTATACTTGTTCAACGAAATGGACGCCACATTAAAGTCGGAACCAAAATTTAAAAAAAAACAACACAAGGCTTACAAAGGCTAGAGGTTCTTGACTTGGGCCTGGTGCAAAATGCGGCTTTTTTGCAGTGTTTTTTTTTTATTCATTTATTTTGGACATTTTGCAGATTTCCTTGTAGTCATTGAACAAAATAGTAAGAAAAGGGGGAAACACTGATCTTAAACTGAATCGATCACTACGATGAAACAATGCAATTTTATGATAATAATATTAATATATATGATACTGTTTTTTTACATGGTCCAGTTCGGTGTATTGTTGAATAAACTGTCAATATTTTATTGTTTACAAATCATCTCAGCAGTTTCAAAAACATCCATACAGGTAACTATAATGAATGATTATATGGTCTTTTTGAGATGGTCCCCACTATAAACTGTAGTAGTATTGGTATTCATGATTTTAACAACAGTGCCAGACTTTTCTAACACGTCTATTAGTTTGTGATTAGGTCAGTTTACTGGGAACCACTAGTGGTAGGTCAATTATATTTGGTATGCAGTTGTATTAGCATTGGCACATCTCATTTCCATTGAGATTATTTGGCCCCACCCCCTCAGTCATGGTCTATTGACTTTGAAACTTTTGCTCAGTTTACATGTATTAGTTTGTGATTAAGTCAGTTTATGGGGAACCACTAGTGGTAGGTCAAAGATATTTGGTATGCAGTTGTATAAGAATTGGCATATATCATTTCCATGGAGATTATTTGCCCCTGACCCCACAGTCATAGTCTATTGACTTTGAAACTTTTGCTCAGTTTACATGTATTAGTTTGTGATTAAGTCAGTTTATTGTGGAACCACTAGTGGTAGGTCAATGATATTTGGTATGCAGTTGCATTGCCACATCTCATTTCCATGAAGATTGTTTGGCCCTGTACCGTCAGTGCATTGACTGAATATTTTTCATAACTTACATGTTGAAACATTGCTATTTTAAGTTCCACATTTTCATTTTACTATCAGAATAACAAAAAGGCGAGACATATCTCTCTGTAATTTTTCAACAGTTTCCTTTAGATATATATATCATGAAGCAAGTATTTCATGTTTCTGTTAGTCTTAAAGATATAGGAGACATGCAGGGCAAACATCTAAATGCTGTGCAATCATTCAAGTTGTGAATCCAAAACTCAAAAGGGTTTCTAACTCTTAGCTTGTCCTAAAAATACATGTCATATTTTCATATTGTAAGTAACTCAGGCATTTAAATAAATTCTTTTACACACGTTTTGTTTTGCAGATGTTAGGAGATGCAGGTGGAGGGAAAATGAAGATATATCATGGTGATATTTTACAATATGACATGGATGATGTATTTCCGTCAGAAATCAAGAATAAATGGGAGGATGAACCTCCAAATCTTCATTTGATAGGAAATCTACCATTTAATGTTTCCACGCCCCTTATAATCAGACTGTTACATGCTATATCAGAACGCAGAGGTCCATGGAAACATGGCAGAGTCAACCTAACTTTGACCTTTCAAGAGGAGGTGGGTTACAGAATGTCAGTGCCACCTGGTGATAAAGAACGTTGTCGATTATCTGTGATGTGTCAGCATTTATGTCATGTAGATACAAAGTTTATAATTCCTGGTAAGTTGCTTTTAGGTAAAGAGAATATTTTAAGAGTCATTCTGATATCTGACATGCTCCCTGTGTGTGACATAGTGGTGCTCTGTAAATATATGAAATGATGAAAAATGGCAAATTTCTGCCTTAAATAATGTATGGTTGCAACATATCATGCCTGTTAATTTAAAGATTATAAGTTTAAGGTCAAACTGAGGGCATATATCAAAACACTTTTAGCATGATACAGCCCATACATTTATTTTACTTTTAATGTATTCAGTGCATAAACAAGTTGAACACATTAATTTCTAACTTAACTTTCAATGTCAAACACCAAGGTAAGACAGGTAAGCAACTTGCCAATACAGGGTTTCAGTTAAAACAAAATTGAAGTTTTAATTACCTCAGGTCTATCAGTGATATTTATTCATCCTTCAATGAACTTAGAACAAATAAGGTCAGTCTTCATCAGACTTTAGGTATGTAATAACCAAAGGAGAATATGATCCCTATTACTGTTCAGATTGGACAACTTATAGATCATTTTATCTTCTTTCAGAACTATTTTGGGTGATCCCTTCACCATCAGAATAGACGGCAGTTAGTACTAAATATAGAAATTTACAAGGTATAAAAGTTGTTGTTTTTTGTCCACTATTAATGTTAAATTTTGATGGCATTTCTATTCCTTATAAATAAGTTTTGTTTTTCAAATGTATGTTACATTTTGTACATTGTAATAAGAATGAACTGGTTTCTATTACAGGTAGTGCCTTTGTGCCAGCACCTAAAGTCAATGTTGCAGTAGTTACCTTTAATCCCTTAAAGAAACCATTGATTAGCCAACCATTTAAATTGGTAGAAAAAGTTGCCAGACATACTTTTCATTATAAACAGAAAAGGGTCAGAAAAGGAATAGAGTAAGTACTGTAAAACTTAAACATTTTTATGGGAACTTACAGTTAAACCTGTATTTACAGAGCTTTTAATACAAAAGCCAACATTTATTGAGCAACTTTCGTGGAATTTTAATCAGTTTCCAAAAAGGTTTATATGCATTTATTGGAATAAAATATTTTCGATTAAAATCCAATTTGCAAATTTTCAAACAATATTATTAGGAGCAGTTTCCCTCTTAAACCAACCTGTTCTTTTTTCTGCACAGGATTAAAAAAAAACAACATTAATGTAAAGTTAGAGACTAAAATGGATGATGCAAGTGGCAAAATTTTAGTTAAGCTGTGTTTAGGAAACTTGATAAATTTTTGTCTTAGAGTATTTTCTTCATTTTAAGGTCCTTACAGTTGCCAAAGCACCATGCTTGATTTAAAAATCTCACAGGAATGTTTGTCAATATTATACATAGAATGTTGTTCAGTCTCCTTAAAGCCTCTAGTTTATATTATGTAAGAAAATTTAAATAATAATTTATTAATACGAATAATAAGTTCCATATGATTGACTAAATGATTAAACTGCATAAATATCACATAAAAAGATTGATTTGATGAAATAAGATAAGTATTAATTAATAAATTAATAAGTAAACAAATTGTATTTGTTAAGTACCTGACAAATTACAAGGCAGGAGTACTGACATTTTCTCACACAAACATGTATAAATCTTACTTTCATTTGACTTAAACTTGTGATTTACATTTTAACTTTCTTAGCAAATCCATGAAAAAAAACATTGTAAATGTTCTAATTAACTCATAAATTTCTATGTTTCAGAACTTTGTTTCCACCAGATATGCCTGAACTAACTGCAAAAATGTTTGAGTTATCTGAAGTTAATCCCAACTTAAAACCAATAAGTCTGACAAATGAAGAAGTTGGACGATTATGTCATGTTTATAACTATATTTGTGATCAACATCCATATATATTGTCATATGATTACAGAAGTCCACAAATGAAAGAATTTGTGAGAAAAGCAAGACAGTTAGAAATGGACAAGATAGAACAACAGATTATATTAGGTCCTTCAGAAAAGACAGAATCTATTATTGCACATGAAAACAATACATAAAATAGTTCAGTTATCTTAACTTTTTATTTCTTGTTGTTTGTGGATTTAAATTTTATATGGTCCATAGAAAATCGTTTATACAAAGGTTTTACTTTTAAGTTAAAAATGCATTTGGTTATTGTCTCGCCTGCGACGAAAGTCGCAGAAAGTGAGACATAGGTATTACTATCCGGCGGCGACGGCGGCGTAAACTATTTGTATAAAGCTTTATATTTCAGAAGGTAGAAGACCTGGATGCTTCATACTTTGTATGCAGATACCTTATGTTACGAACTTTCCGTCTGTCATATGTCCAATGTCCTTGACCTTATTTTCATGGTTCAGCGACTGCTTGAAAAAAAAGTTTAGTTTTTTTGTTATGTAAATTTCTCTCTTATTATGAGTAATAGGATAACTATATTTGGTATATGGGTTCCTTGCAACGTCTACATGTCCATCAGACAGGGTTCACCTGGACTCAGCCTCATTTCATGGATCAGTGATCAAGGTTAAAGTTACGTGATTAGGTCCGTTTCTCAGATACTACAAGCAGTAGGTCAGCTATATGTGGTGTATGAAATGATTATAAGGGATACATGTCAGTCTGGCAGGTTTCATCTGACCTTGACCTCATTTTCACGGTTCATTGGTCAATGTTAAGTTTTTGTGTTTTGGTCTGTTTTTCTAATACTATAAGCCATTGGTCAACTATATTTGGTGTATGGAATGATTGTAAGGTGTACATGTCTGTCTGGCAGGTGTCATTTGTCCTTGACCTATTTTCATGGTTCATTGGTCAATGTTAAGTTTTTGTGTTTTGGTCTGTTTTTCTAATACTATAAGCAATAGGTCAACTATATTTGGTGTATGGAATGATTGTAAGGTGTACATGTCTGTCTGGCAGGTGTCATTTGTCCTTGACCTCATTTTCATGGTTCATTGGTCAATGTTAAGTTGCTCTTGTTTGGTCCTCTTCTCAGATACTATAAGTTATAGGTCAACTATATGTGGTGTATGGAATGATTGTAAGGTGTGCACGTCTGTCTGACAGGTTTCATCTGACCTTGAGCTTATTTTCATGGTTCATTGGTCAATGTTAAGTTTCTGTTGTTTGGTCTTCTTCTCAGATGCTATAAGTAATAGGTCAACTATATTTGGTGTATGGAATGTATTTTATTATTTAACTGCTGATTACTTACATTGAAATAGATTATTTTATAAAAATCTTTAAATAACATTAATAATGATAATAAATAATAAAAACTTTTAAGGGATCATTACTAAACTGTGATTAACAAAAACATTGGAACGTGTGAAAATGTTAAAATAAGGTCACTCATGCATGAATGTTTATCAGTACACTCCAGTCCCTTCATAAAGATTAATTGGCTGAATATGTACAGATTGAAGAACTTTTGAAATTTTGTTTGCACAACAGAATCACATTTACTGATTTTTGATACATATGAAATAAGATAAGTATTGAGATAAGTAAAAAATATTTTAGCATAGCAACATAAATAGATAAATAGATAATATGAAAATATGACTTTTTACAATATTTTGATCAAAGATTGAAGATAATTTTAGTTTTTTTTTTTTGGGGTGAGGGGGGTCTTTCAGGTTCATCTCTAGGAATTGACAAATATTTATCCAGTTTCTGCAATGCCTTAAAACTTTTCCTTGTGCACAGGCTTGTCTATACTCAAGAGGAAATAAAAAAAAAATGGCCATATTTGTCAATAGGGTTTATCTCACCTTGACTTCATGTTCATTCATCATTAAAATGTTAATTTAATGTAAAACTTATATAAACTTATTTTTTTTACTTTCAACATAAATTCAATTATGAACACTAAAACAGGCGAGACATTTCAGTGTGTCCACTCTTGTTTATTTTATATATGAAGTATTAAAATACAAAGGAGAAACTTGGAAGGAAGACAACACAATAATGAAAAAAAAAAAGATTATGCCAATCATAATGTTTCAAAAAGAGCAATCAGAAATATATACAAATACACAGAATGAAGTTTTATAATTTTGAATATAATTACTTTTTTTTATGAAATTAATCATTTTGATTATTTTTTTAATCCCACGTTAGGCATATTTTGATATATCATCCTTAAATTTATCACAAAAAGTTCAAACATATATTTTCTACCAGATAGATATTGTTAACTAGGTTAAAGACACAATCAAAGTACTGAAGTACTGAACATCGGATGACCGCAGGTTCTTGTGGATGGTCAAAAGCACATGTCACAGAAATAGATCACATCTCTATACCTGAAACTGAGGTTAATTTACAGAGATATATTTTTTTCTGATACAAGTTCATGCATGGATGATGAATAAATGACAGGAAATTCAACTGCACCGTAATAACTATTATATTGTAGTGATACAAATCAGTATACCTGGGACTATTATACTAATATAATAATAGTCCCAGAGTATACACTGGTTGTTATATATTATATTAATATTACGGTTGCATGTATATATAATTTTCATCTATTTGTATATCATTCTATTCTACTATTCTAATAATAGTGCAGTGCAAGTGCATGGTGGACACTCTTCTGTAAAAAAATCGATTTTACTAAAAGATTGGATATAAGAAGCCATTCATATTTTCCCGCAAAACAATAACAGAGTTATCAGTCCTTGCCGGGAGTGTCGCAAAACGTTCTTGAGATATTCTTCCGTAAGCTTTAACACAATTTTTTGGTACGTGTGCATAGATATCATCAATGATTTTTTACTTTTATATATATAACTAACGACAACACATTTTCATATTATTAATTTGTGTTTTAATAAAAATATTTATAGGAGTATCCATTGAAAAATTGAATTTGAAACAAGCGATAAGTAATGTTATTTTGCACTAGATAATGACTGCGGATCTATAATTTTTATAGATCGGTTGGAAACCCAAAACTAATTTGCATAATGGAAATTTAGGCGATAGCAATACATCAAAATGACCTCACGGTCATCACGATGTAAAAAAAACAATTATTGAAGAAAACCTGATTTATGCTAAAAACAATAAATGAAAAACAAATACATGAATAGCAACCAAAGACTATCACTGAATTACAGGTGCCTGAGACATGTACAGGTACATATAAAATGTTGCTGGGGTAAACTTGTTTGTCAGCTATTACCCTCACCCTTACCTTAAAATATGGCCAATACTTTAGTTTGGCCATAAACTGTGATTCATAACAATGCTGGAACAAGTCTGCTATTAATAGGGCCCAACTGGTACCAATAAGAATACCATATTGAAATAATTCTTTGCCAAAACATACATTGATGTTGTCAAGTAGAAAATTTACAGGTAAAGTCATCTTTAAGCAGTTTCAGTGAGTATATCTAGCATATTGACCTTTTTCATTATAGAAAAAGGCTTGATATGAGTTGCAGCAAATAAATTTGCATTCAGAGTTTTAGTTCACCTGGCTTAAAGAGCTAAATGAGCTTTTCTCATCACGTTTTTCTGTTGTTACAAAATTCTTTCCCTCAGAAACTACTGGGCCACAATCATCCTTTAGCATTGTTTTTAAAATATTTAAAGTGAAACTACATATTTATATAAACAAATTATCAGCAGAACAAGATCTACAAAAATTAAGTCCGTCTACTCTTTATAGGAATATTTACTCTTGAAAGACAAGTTATACCTTTTTTAGCTCACCTGGCCTAAAAGGCCAAGTGAGCTTTTCTCATCACTTGGCGTCCGTTGTCCGTCATCGTCGTTAACTTTTACAAAAAACTTCTCCTCTGAAACTACTGGACCAAATTTAACCAAACTTGGCCACAATCATCATTAGGGTATCTAGTTTAAAAAATGTGTCCGATGACCCGGCCAGCCAACCAAGATGGCTGTAATGGCTAAAAATAGAACATATGGGTAAAATGTAGATTTTGGCTGATATCTCTGAAACCAAAGCATTTAGAGCAAATCTGACATGGGTAAAATTGTTAATTAGGTCAAGATTTATCTGCCCTGAAATTTTCAAACAAATCAGACAACTCATTGTTGGGTTGCTGCCCATAAATTGGTAATTTTTAGAAAATTTTGCTGGTTTTGGTTATCTTCAATATTATTATAGATTGAGATAAACTGGAAACAGCAATAATGTACAGCAAAGTAAGATCTACAAATAAGTCAACATGACCAAAATGTTCAACTGACCCCTTAAGGAGTTATTGCCCTTTATAGTCATTTTTTTAACAATTTTTTGTAAATTTTTGTAATCTTTTACAAAAATCTTCTCTGAAACTACTGAGACAAATTTAACCAAACTTTGCCACAATCATCATGCATGTTATGTCTATTATTTTTTGAACAGTTATAAATAGAGAAAATCTGAAAGGAGCAAAAATGTTCAGAATAATGAGCTCTCCCAATTGTCCATATACGTCAAAACTGTTAGACAAATTCTTATAGGAGTTATTGCCCATAAATGACAAATTTTACAACTTTTTTTCATTTTTGCCTATTATAATGAAAACTATGATATTTAGAGAGAAACATTTTTTTTCCCATTATGCCTTATATGATTTAAATTATAATAGATAAATAAACACTTTAAATCACAAAAATGATCAGCAAGGCAAGATTGATTAAAAAGTAAAATTTTGCCGATAAAGTTAGTAGACTGTCACTCTTCATAGGAGTGATTGCCCTTAAATGAGGATTTATTTTACCCTGAGCGAAAACTAAAGAAGATAGAGAGAAACTAGACAGACTAAAAGATCAGTAATACAAGATCAACAAAATAAGAGATTTTTGTCATGAAGTCTATTCTCATCTACAATGTTGGAAAGTGTCCTTTTGTATGATATGCACATAGACCAAGGTGAGCGACACAGGCTCTTTAGAGCCTCTAGTTGTAATTTTTGTTGGAACCAGAGAAGATTGAGAGAACCTGAAAGCACAAAAAGTGATCAGCATATATGAGAAGCTATAGTATAAAGAGAGAAATTGCGAATAGCAAAAATAAACTGTAGGTCAAGATC